TTACTCTTTTTGTTTCTTACATTGTAGTTTGATGATTTTCTTTAGTAGTATGCTTTTGTTCCTTTCTTTTTAGTTTCTTTGTAACTGTTGGGGGTTTTTGTTTTGTGGTTACCATGGGGTTCATATATTGTTGACCTATAACTATATCTACTTGTCATAAGTGGTAGTCATTTAAGTTTAACACATTGTAAAAGATCTATTTTTTCTCCCCTCCCCACATTTTATGTTTTTGATGTCATATTTTACATCTCCATGTTTATCTCTTAACTGTTTATTGTAGTTATTGTTGCTTTTTATATATATATAAATGTTTATATGTATCTTTTCATCTTCATACTGGCTTATTTAAGTGGTTGACCCTCAGTCCTTACTGTGTATTTGCCTTTCCTAGTGAGATTTTTTCCTTTCCTGTAGATTCCTACTTTTTTCCCACTTAGAGAAGACTCTAACACTACTTTTAGGTTAGGTTTCGTGTTGGTGAACTCTTTTAGTTTTTGCTTCTCTGAGAAGTTCTTTATCTCTCCTATTCCAAATGATAATCTTGTTGAGTAGAATATCCTACGTTGCAGGTTTTTTCCCATTCAGCACTTTGAATATCATGCCACGCCTTCTGGCCTGCAGAGTTTCTGCAGCGAAATCAGTTGATAGCCTAATGAAGGTTCCCTTGTATGTGAGTGACTCTTTGTTTTTCTCTTGCTGCCTTTAAATTCTCTTTTTATCTTTTGCCATTTTAATTATGATATGTCTTGTTGTGGATCTGTTTGGGTTTACCCTGTTTGTGACCCTCTGTGCTTCCTGTACCTGGATATCTGTTTCCTTCCTCAGGTTTGGGAGATTTTCAGCCATAATTTCCTCAAATACATTTTTGATCTCCCCTCTCTCTTCTTCTGGGACCCCTATAATGTGAATGTGAATGTTGCTATGTTTAATGTTATACTAGAGATCTCTCAAGCTGTTTTCATTTTTAAAAATCTGTTTCTCTTTTTTTGTTTTTCTTTTTGCCTCCTATTATTCCCAGTGGTCCTCCAGTCAGCCAAGGGGACTTGTTTCCCCCATGTAGGATTCCAGGGCCTGGAGCACCTTATCTGTGGCTCTCACTGCTCACTCCTCTGGGTGGGTATCCACCCATGTATTCTCCCTTTTCCTCTGAGTCCCCTCCCAGATGCACAGGTCCTGACCCAATCACTTTTCTTCTCTTCCCTGTGTATCTCTCTTATAGCCTTGGTTGTACAGGAGTCCTTCTGCCAGTTTTCAGTTAGTTTTCAGTGAGAATTATTCCACATGTAGGTGTATTTTTTCATGTGTGCATGGTGGAAGATGAGCTCCATGTCCTCTTCCTCTAAGTGTGCCATCTTGAGTGATCTCTCTGTGCATATTTAGATTTGCTTATAGCCTGAAAATGAACTACTTGTAAGCACTAAATATTATTTCTTATAGCACACTTTTTTTTTCCAGCAGCTGTCCTTGAAAAACAATTATTTCAAGATTGTGTACATTGTGGTTCTTTTGGGAGTCATTATGAAGTTAGAACTCAAATGTTTACATCTTTTTATTTACTGTTCTGAATAAAATAATATTATGGAGATGCTTAATTTTGCCCTGTTTTAAATGATTTCTGTATAATTTCTATTGATCAAAACACTGTTTTCTAAAATTGAACTCTTTGCTTAGTTGTACTTGAAGAATTATGAAATGTTCTAGATACTCAGGAATCAGAGAATAATGTAAATAATTTGCATGAATGTACCACCCATATTAATGTTGAATTTGGTGTTTATCATTTCCGTGTAGTTTAGAAACATTTATTATATATGCTAGTATAAATGATATTTTATTTTGCATGCTTTAAAAATTTATATTTGTAAAGGTTTCTGTGGCTTGCTTTTTAACTCAGCATTCTTGATAGGTCCATCCATGTTTACACATGTAGCTCTACTTCATTTTCAGTGTTTATCAATGCTCATGGATATGAATACTTAGATTATAGTTAGATTTTACAATTACGATCAGAGCTGTTCTGATCATTATTGAGTACATGGAGAAAAATTTCTCTTAAGCATATATATAGAAGAGCTAATGTTGGTTGGTAGGCATAGTTTCTGCACATTACGCTGACCCTTCTTCAGCAGCAAATGAAATTTCAGTTGGTTCCATATCATTGCCAATACTCATTATGGTCAGACTTTAAGATTTTTCCTAATTTGTTGGTAATGGGATCTCTCTGTGGTTTTAATACGTATTTCCCTAATTAGTAGCAAATGAAGAATTTTAATTTCTTCTCGCCCTTTGGTTTTACCCTCTCTTCTTTCTTTTTTTTTCTTTCCTTCTCTCTTTCTCAAGTGTAGTCAGTTTACAATGTTGTGTCAGTTTCTGGTGTACAGCATAATAGTTCAGCCATACATATACCTCCATATATCCATTTTAATTTCCCTCCTTTTCTGGGTGCACTTTTCTGTTGGGTTGTTTGTCTTTTTCTTTTAATTGTAGAAGAAGTTCTTTTTATAATCTGGAATTAATTCTTGCTCTGTTATATACATTGCAGATAGTTTCTCCCACACCATGCCTTGTATTTTCATTCTGTTGTGTCTTTTGATGAACAGAAGTTTATATTAATTGATCAAATTTACCAATATCTATTTATGGATTGCCATTTTGATTCTTGTATATGAAATCTTCTGCCTTGATGTCATGAAATATTACTCTGGATGTTCTTAAAGTTGTAAGGTTTTGGCTTTCTCATTTAAGTCTTTATTTAGCTAAACTTGATGTTGGTGTATGATAAGACATAGAGATACCATTTTATTTTTCATGTTAATTAACAATTGTCACATAGTACTGTTAATTGAATAGTCAGTTCATCTCTTCTCCACTGGTCTTCAGTGTCAGTAACATTACAGATCAGTTTTTATATTTGTGTGGATATGTGTCCAGGCTTACCATTTTGTTAATTTGGTCTATCTTAGCTTCTTGCCAGTATCACAATCTCTTAATGACTTAAAAAGTTAAGATATCTGCAACATGGATGAACCTTCAAAACATCATGGTAAAATACCTTACATGATCCCATTTCTGTGGAATACCCAAGACACAAAAAGTAGATTAGGGGTTACCATGGGATAAGGAGGATGGGGGAATTGTGGGTTAGTGACTGAGGAGATGTGGCATTTCCTTTTGAGGTGATAAAAATATTCTAAAATCAATTGTGGTTGTTAAACAACTCTAAGTATACTAAAAACCATCGATTGTCCACTTGAGGTGAGTGGGTTGTATGGTATTTGAATTATGTCTCAGTAACATTTTTTTTTTAAAGTTGTAATGTGAGATGGCAGGTCCCTTTACACCCTGTTTTTAAAAATTGTTTTGACTATATTTGGTCTTTTCCATATAAATTTTAATTAGCTTGTTAAATTCCATGTAAAATTATGTTGTGATTTTGGTTAGACTTCTACTGAGTTAGTACATTAATTTGGAGGCTAATATCATTTTGACTTAAAGTCTCACTACCCATAAATGTGATATTTTACTTCATAGGCCTTTAAAAAGTTTTAACCTTTTCAGTTTTTTTTTTTCCGTAAAGATCAGGCACGTCTTTTGTTAAACTTATTTATTCCTAAGTACCTTATGGTTTTTATTGCTACTGTAAATGGTATTTTAAATTACATTTTCTACTTGTTAGTTGCTGGGGTATAGAAATGCTATTGACTTTTATGTAGTGGTCTGCTGCCCAGCAACCTAGCTGAATTTATTTTAATTTGTTTTGTAGATTGTTTTCAATTTTCTGGCTAGAAACAATGACATCCTCTGCAGTCCTTATAATATTTAAAAATTTCTTGTCTTAATTCTCTGGCTAGAATCCTGTTGTAATGTTAAATAGGAGTTACCATAACCAGTGTCTTGTTCCTGCTTCGAAGGGAATGATTTGAGCAGTTCAGCATTAAATATCTTTATTGCTTTAAAGCAAGAACTGATATTTCACCCAAGGCCTATTTTTGCAAATAAAATTTTATTGGAACATAGCCATGCTCATTCGTTTACATATGGCCTGAGGCTGCTTTCATGCTACAGTGACACATTTGAGTCGTTGTAACAGAGGTCCTCAAAGCATAAAATATTTACTATTTGACTTTTTATAGAAAAGATTTGCTAGCCCTGCTCTAGGGTTTTGATTGCTTAATAATAAATCAAGGAAATTTCCTTTTACTTCTAGATTAAGAGGTTTGCTTAAAAATTATGAGTTGGTGTTGAACTTTATAATGACTTTGTATAACTATTGAGAAGAGCATTAAGTTTTTCCCCTTTAATTTTTATGTGGTAAATTACATTATAAAATCAGTTACTAGTAAACAACCTTGCATTCCTAAAATAAACATCATCTTGCTCTCTTTTTTTTTTATATGCTAATGGATTAACTTTTCTAATAATTTAAAATACTAGCACTGATGTTCATAAATGATATTGCCTTGATGTATAGCATTAGCTCCAGCCCATGGTTGGTACATTGAGCTTTCATCTCTGTAGAGTTTTACATGTTTATAATTCTATCAGAATACTTTGTCTCATGTATTACTTTAAAGTGTTCTTTTGAACTTCCAAAGTAATTTTTTTTAAATGCTGACTCAGTTGAATTATGATAACATACTCTGTTATATCTGACTCAGATATTTGTTGAGGTTTCTTTCTAATAAGTAGTTTGAAGTATCAAGTAAATTAAATTTGCCACTTATAAAATATAATTCTAAGATGTAACTTTGAAACAAGACTTAAGTGTTGTGTTCATAACTCTAACACTGAAATTCTATGTTGGAGGATTAGAATGAGATAATCACATTTGACTGAAGTTGATTGAAGTGAGAAGAGAAATTCCTTGAAAACCGCTTATTGAGGCTGTCTGTATCAATTGCAACTTCAGTAAAAATACCTTTCATTTTCTAGTTGGACATTAGCATTTGGCTTAAGTAAAAACAGATTTTAACAAACTGTATTATGTTTTTATTTAATAGATCAGATGAAAAAAAGAATATGAACTGGAAGCAACTTCCCAAAAAGCCATGCAAAAATCTGATTAGCACCTTGAAGAAATTGTATCCCCAGCTATCTTCAGGTAAATGTGAGCAAAAAGGAAGGAATGTTTTTAGTGAAGAATCTGTATAAAAAAATTCTTAAACTTAAACACAATTTTGCTCTTCTTAAAGGGAATCTCATTAAAAAACAAAATTCCAGTAGTAAGAAAGTAATACTGTGGTTCGTGGTTTTTTTGAACATGGACCTTCTTGTTAACCCCGGCTAGTGATCTCTTCACATTAATGGAGAGAGGAATTTCAGGAAGTGATGGGCTTTATTTTGACAATTTCCTAGATTGTTGAATCATTACATAAATAATACTATATATTAGTGCCATTTTCTCTTCTTTCTTCATTTATCAGTCCACCGGAAAACTCAAGAAGGTTCAGCAATTGAGATGACCCCAATTGAAGCAGATTTCTCGTGGCAAAAGAAGATGACACAACTTGAGATGGAAATTCAAGAAGCATTTTTGCGCTTTATGGCAACCATTTTAAAAGGATATAGAACATATCTCAGACCAATCACAGAGGCTCCTTCAAATAAAGCCACAGCTGTTGATTCATTGTTTGACCGACAGGGTGAGTGGAATTAAAAATATAATTATTCATTGAAATGAAAAATATTTTCTATTTGGCATTGCTGCCAAAAAATACACAATATATAAGTTCTTAGAAATTTATATTAAAGTGATGAACTTCTGTGTATTTGTAATCTAGCTCTGTGAATAGAATTTCTGTTAATTTTTATACTCCATTTTTTTCCCAGGAAATGGCAAACTGGAGGTGTTTAATTATGAAATGTCAAAGATGTTGCTTATATTGACAGTACTCTGTATGTAGTCAGTTATCTTAGTAGAACAAAGCTGGTAATTTGCTTTTAGGTGTTTTCTCAGTTTCCCCTAATTCTTGAGTTTGTACACTCTTGGCTTTACAGTATTCTCTGACAAATAATTTTTGGAATAAGACTATAAGTTTTTAAAAAGTTTGAAAAAATATAGCCTTGTTCCAGGGGAAAATACTGTATTCATTCTTTTTAGTATGTGTATTTTAGGGAATTATAAAAATTTTTGTTGTTATCTAGCTGCTCTTAAAACATATGCGTTGCAGCAACCTTACAAATAAATAAGTATTCATATGACAATTATTTTACATTTCTGTAATTTTACCCAGCAGTTACTTTCTTAAAAATCTCTATTTTCCCAGTAATCCTTTTGTCCTTTACCATTTCTGCTTTGGGATAACTTTCTCTCAAATACTTAGTCACCACTTACCAAGTCCAACTAGTTATTTTATATGGATATGAAGAAGTATAAAATCTAAATGCATGGGATACCCAATGGAAAATAATCTATAGTGTTTTTAAAAATAGAACAAGTACCCAATAAAACAGATTTTACACAATAATTTAGTGAGGGGTTATGAGATTCAGAAAAAGAGAATATTTTTCCAAATGAGCAGTTTGGAAGACTTCATGGAAGAGGAGCATGACTTTGAAGAGTGGGTAAAATTTAGATAAATGGAGATGAGTAAGAAAGACTTTCTAGAAACAATAGGCATTAAAAGTCAAATCTGAATTAGAATTTCCACTTTATTACATTTATGAAGTCTTTCTGGGGTTCTGTTTTGTCATTAATGAAATACCTACTTCATGCATAGTTGTGGAGATAAAATGAGAAAATTGTATGTGAAGCAACTAGTAAAAGTACTGTACTGTACTCATAGTAACAGCTATTATTGTTAGTGGTAGTAAAGAAGTGGAAGAAAGCTCAAGAACAAAAGCACAGGGCATGTGTATTAGTTTGCCAGGGCTGCCGTAACCAGTTGCCATAGACTGAGCGGCTTAAACTACAGAAATTTATTTTCTCACAGTTCTAGAGGCTAGAAATCCAGGTGACTAGGTACCTAGGATTGATTTCCTCTGAGGCCTCTCTCCTTGGCTGTGTAGATGGCTGTCTTCTCCCTGTATCTTCTTGTGATCACCCTTTGGTGCGAATCTGTGTCTAAATTTTCTCTTCTTACCAGGACACCAGTCAGAGCCCATCCTAATTTAATTACTTAATTTTGACCTAAGTATGCCTTTAAAGACCCAGTCTGCAAGTATAGTCACACTTGGAAATCCTGGGGGCATAAGAATTGAATGTGTTGACAAGAAGGTAACTGAAATGATGTACATGGCCATAGAAGCAATATTAGATAGGGAGAGAAGTGAAGATGGGAGGTTGTACATAGAATGTAAAAGGGTGAATGGATTGTAGATTTCAGTGAGACTATCTCCTTCCTCCCCCAATTCTCCTCCTAAAAGAAGACTTGGTAGGAAGAACTTAAGCAGGCATACCAGACAGACAGGGGTAATGGTCACTGGGTAATATGTAAACTAGAGATTTGGGAGGCAGAGCTGTTTTCAGTGCTTCCAAGAGAAGTCCAGTGAGTGTGTGACTATGCATAGAAGTTGGTAATTGAGGTAGGATAGACCATAGATCATTGAAAGTTAAGGAATTAAAAACTCATTAAAATGTTGGATGGTTGGTGCTTATGGGTGTTGAAAAATGATGGTGGTCGGAGTTGAAGAGGGGGAGACTTTGAATTAGGTGCCCTAGTCATCAGTGAATGAGGGAGAGAATGTCCCTGAAGTCAGGAGTTAGTAGGAGAATGGGTAGAATAGCCTGCTGAACTTCAATGAGCAGAAAATTTTCCAAGATAATACAGGAATAATTGGTGACATTGCAGAAGGACTTGATCCTTTCTGCTTGAGAATATGCAGAGTATCAGAAATTTGTACTTGAGCTATAGGACTAGAGGTTCCTTATAGGACATTCAGATTTCAGTGTTAATTGTACGGGTTAAGTTCTTCTGTGGTTGAATCAAGCAGAAGGGCCTTTGGCTACTAAAAGCTTCTATAAATATGGATATACATATAAAGAGAAAACTAGATAAATACAAGCTTAAAATAATGTTTAATATAACATCTAGTTCAACTTTAAAATTTGAATTTAATTGTAATTTTTTTTTCTTCAGGATTTTTAAAAAGTCGAGATCGTGCCTATACAAAATTCTACACCCTTTTATCCAAAACTCAGATTTTTATTCGTTTCATTGAAGAATGTAGTTTTGTAAGTGATAAAGATACTGGATTGGCTTTTTTTGATGACTGCATAGAAAAGGTAAAAGTTTGTCCTGTATATCAATATTATAAAAACTTTTAATAGTTAGTTTACCTTTATGATCATCATCATCATTATTATTAGCCCAAACGATCTGAAGGAGGTATCCGATACTGGACTTAATGTAAGAATTATTTTCTTTTATGGTATCTGGTGCTACCATACATATAGCTAATTTTTCCTCTTTGATGCTCACTTTGGTTTTGTGTTAGGTATTAAGAACGTTTCATTGAACCTCCTAAATTTCTTTCTTTTTTTTTATAAGGTAAGATTTAGTAGTTCATTTAAAAAGTTTAATTTTGTGAGTAATGAATGTCCTGTGTTCTTTTGTTTTAATGTCTTTCCAAATACTTTTGCTAATATGTTTCTTATGTCCTAATGGAGGATATTTGGAAATATGTTAAATTTTAAAGCTTTACTCACCCATCCTAAGGAACTTTAAGTTGATTCTTGACAGTGATGACTCATGTATTTTTTCCTCATTTTTAATAGAGCTCTAATTTTTGCTAAATGGATCTTGGGGTTGATTGTTTATGCAAACCATATATTATATAAAATTTGAGATAGTATCCAAAAAAGATAGAATATTATGACATTATGATTTTTATGGGCCCCTGATGATTTTTTATCTTAGAAGACTTGAATAATTTTCTCCCATTCTGTCAGTGTGATCTAAAACTCCAGGGATATGATTAAAACTATTCAACATATCTGTTTACTTATAAAATTGATAGTTCAGTATCATCCAGTTAAAGAAAAGCTTAGATAATATCAACCACTAATGCAGAGGTTTAGTAATAATGAAATTTTTGATTTGAGAAACCAGATTACTTTTGTGATCGCCCATCTTTTGCTTGTGGAGGATTTATGAACAAATTAACCGAAGTAAATTGTTTTCTACTCTGATAGCCGTAAGAGAAATATACTTTAGCCTAGTAGTATAAGGTCCCCCCAAATAAATTATGAAGTGTTTCCTATCTGCCTAGTATTAAAAAAAAAGGATAGTTTTTAAATAAGTTCAAGATTATCTCTGTTAATTTAAAAGTAGACATTTTTCACTAAGAATTCCTTTGTTTTCTTCTAGTTGTTTCCTGATAAAGGCACAGAGAAAACAGATAAGGTATTTTTTTCTTAAATTCAAATTTTGATATTTGAGAATGAGACCTTGCTTATTTGCAAATTAATTGGAGAAAATAATTATTTTTAGGTTGATTTTGACTCAGCAGAAGATACCAAGTTGATAGAGCTAGATGATTCACAAAAAAGTGAGCACACTGTATTCATAATGCCACCAGAGCCACCTCCTGATGACGGAACGGATCTGCCACCAAAGTACAGGTAGCAGGAGTTTTTTAAAGAGCTGTTTGGGCACAGCTTTTATTTATCTTTTGTGATTATTAGTAGATATGTATATGAATCGTTTGTGAAGGTCATTTTCAGAATTTATTCAGTGAACTGACGGAGATGAATATTTTATGGAGATATACCAGGTATTGTAATTTAAGAATAACCACATTGCATGTATTTATTGTGATTTGTTTAACTAGTCTCCTGTGGATTTGTTTGTAGTTCTTTGCTACCTATATCTTTATGTATATATACAGTTATTTCCTTTATTTTAGGCTGTATTCCTAAAAGAATTTCTGGAGCAAAGGGAATATAAAATAAGTTTTTTTCAAAAATATAGAATTGATGTATATCACCAGGGCTTCATAAGAATGGAAAATATATACCTGGGATTGAGTGGTTTAATTAAATGCTATTTTGATTGCGTGTTAATTGTAGAACTCTTTTTTACTTTTGCTTACTTACTATACATTGGAATCCAGGTATGGGCAAACAAGGTAAATCAAATAAGGAAAGATAATATATTCCAGCAGAAAATTGGCCAAAGGAAGTGAGTAGGCAATTTCTGAGAAGAAATACCAATAATGAATAATACGAAAATGTTAAGTTTTTCTAGGATTCAAAGAATTGCAAACCAAAATGATAAGTAGAAGCATTTTTAATTTATCAGATTAAGAATAGGCTATCCTACTAATTAGAGTGTATTTTACAGTGTAGGTAAGTATAACCTTTCTGGAAGTAATTTGATAGTGATTATAATAATTTTTATTCTCTTGATAAACTCTGACCATAGAAAACTCTGTTGTTGGGCATTATCCTAAGAAATCAAAGAAAAGTATTCACAAAGATGTATGTACAAAGATATTTAATTGCAAAAATTGAGAAGTAGTCTACAAATGTCCAACAGTAAAGAATTGTTAAGTTATGCCATGTCCCTAATGTAAAAATATTAGTTTTTTTCCTTTTAAAATGAAATGCAAGGTGCTTTTATAAAGAAAAACAAAAGTATACCAAATATTATTTTTTAATATAAATTATCATTGAACAAATAAGTTCTGTTGAAAGTCTTAATTCCTCTGTCAAGTAAGATATTACGGTTTTTTAATGTTCCAGGGGTTGGTTGAAAATAACATATAGGTTGGGGAGGAGCCCAAGTTTCCATGTAGATAGCCTACGTATCTTATAATTACATCATCTTATACTTTTGAGAAAAAAAAATTTATATAAGGATTTTGGAGAATATTATTGGGTATTGTTTGAAGTTTAGAAATATTCACCTAAATTCTGGCATAGTATAAAGAGTTAATGTATTTTAAATCAGCAGCTCTATTTTTGCTTTTTATTTTAGTTACAAATACTTTCCAAGACTGGATCTTAAGCTTTTTGACAGACCACAGGAGTTGAAACTTTGTTTTAGTAGACACCCTACTGGGAGTAGCATTACAAACAGTCCAGCTCTCATGGCTAAGAGAACTAAACAGGTCAGATATTCTTTATCTAATACATGTTAATTTAAAATGCAAAATATGTATATGTGATATGCAGCTCATAGTTTAGAATTATTTCACAGCAACCATTTGAAGAACCACTATGGTTATCAATGAAGTAAAATAGATTTCTTGCAACCCTGCTTATAATATTGAGGCTAATGTTTATGTTTATGCTCTAAGAGAATCCTTGGGAAGTAAATACACTTAAAGAAAAACAACTTTATTGATATATAATTCATATACCATACAATTAATTCTTTTAAAGTGTATTCATGGGCTTTTAGTATCTTCACAGGGTTGTGCAACCACCACTACAATCAATTATGGAACATTTTTATCAACCTAAAAAGAAAGCCTACACCCCTAAACTGTGAACCCTCTGTTCCTCCATCCCCTACAGTCCCAGGCAGCCACTAATCTGTTTTCTGTCTCTATAGTTTTGCCTTTTCTGGGCATTTCATAAAAATGGAATTGTATAATATGTGACTTTATTGTGACTGGCTTCTTTGACTTAGCATTATGTTTTTAAGGTTCATCTATGTTGCAGCATGTATCAGTATTTTTATTGCTGAATAATATTCCATTGTATGGAATATTTTCTTTATCCATTCATGTCTGTGTTCCTACTTTTTGGCTGTTAGGCATAGTGCTGCTGTAAAATTTGTGTGTAAGTGTTTGTGTGGATATATGTTTTCATTTCTTTAAGTATATTCCTAGAAGTAGAATTGCTGTGTCATGTGGTAACTCTGGGTTTAACTTTCTGAGGATTTGTCATACTGTTTTCCAAAGTGGGTATACCATTAAAAATGCCCGCCAGGATGTTTGAGGGTTCAGTTTCACCACATCCTTGTTAATTCTTATTATCTTCTGTCTTTCTGATTATGGCCATCCTAGTGTCTATGAAATGGTATCTCATTGTGGTTTTGATTTGCATTTCCTTCATGGTTAATATAAATATATTTTATACTAAATATTACATTCAAAGGGAGTTAACTTAGGACAACCTAGACATCTTGCTTTTATACTGTATCTGATTTAGGTATAAAGAGTTAAACTATGGTTAAGTGTGAGTTAAAATTAAACATCCTTTATACATATACTGATATTTGAGGGGGTCTACAAAAGCCTATGCTATAATGAAATTCTTAATTTAGGTTGTACCAATTCACATACAGTCCCCCAAATCCTGGCATGATCCTTAACTTCATACAGCACAGTTCTCTCAATGCCATCTAAAAAGTGTTTTTTTTTTCACTGTTACCAGCTTAATAAAAGCAAGTTTTTTAAATAGGAAAATTCTGCCACTAAGTCTTTAAATCTCATTTGCACCAGAATTTTTTTTCCAAGCAAGTCTTGGAAATAGACCTCATAAGAATATGTTTATTTAGAACACATCTTAGCAGAGGGATCTTTAGTGCGAGGTATACGGTGGCAGTCTGACGTGTCTGGAGGGCTCCGTAGTTTCTGGAAGTATGTAGTGTTTGATAAAACTCAGCAGGTGATTTTGATACCTGTTCTCTTTTACACCTAAACTAGAATGAAAATCAAAAGTGGAAAACATGACTATCAAATAAATTATTAGGTGGGAAGATCTATGATCTTTCTCAGACGACTTTGCCTGCAAAGAAGGAATCAGTCAGTGACGGAATTAGAACAGAAGATAGGGTGGAAATCTTGGTGGGAAGTAGCTTAGGGCATCTTAAACGTTTTAGCAGGGAGAAGAGTGAGAAGACACTAACTTTTCAGGAATGATATTGTGGAACTCATAAGCAATCCATGGTTAAGTCTCTTTCATCATATGTGGGAGTGCCTTCTATGTGAAGGGCACGTAATTAACCATTATATTATGGTAATATGAATGATCTCTCTCAAGGAATTTCTAGTCTGTTAAGGACACACGTGCTTGCCAGCAGCTAGTTACAGTACAGTATAAAGTGCTTCTATAGAAGGAATCATGTTGCACTAAGCAGGAAACCGTTCACAAAAGCAAAACCAAAATGCTTGATCTTAGAGTCAAATTTTACGTTAATTTCTTACCTCCCTTTTTACTTCTCACTTTTCCTGTCATCTTAATGAATTTTAGTAAATGTCATGATGTTGTATTTATTCTCTTTCTAGGAGATAAAATCAGCCCATAAATTGGCGAAGAGATGTTATACAAATCCACCCCAGTGGGCCAAGTGTCTCTTCAGTCACTGTTATAGTTTATGGTTCATTTGTCTCCCCGCCTATGTTAGAGTTTCTCACCCTAAGGTCCGAGCACTTCAGCAGGCATATGATGTGCTTATTAAGATGAGGAAAACAGATGTGGATCCACTAGATGAGGCAAGTATAACAAATTGAGTTACTGTTTCTAAGATAAATTTTATTTGTATTTTTAATAAAATTTAGGTCTCAGTTGCTTTCCAGTATCCTCAAATATTTTCGTTAAGTAGGAAAGGTAAAACTATTATCCTGTTTCATAGAGCTAATACTTATTGTTTATTTTAAAATACATTTATTTAAAAATTAATGGCTTTGAAGTGAAGCAGAGACTTCCTTTCTTAGACCATATTGTTTGCCCGTGATAAATAGAAACAAAATTGACTTTATTTTATTTTCCAGGTAACTTTATTAGGAAACAAATAGGCTATTTATGTAAGTGCCTCTCCACTTAGGACCTGTGTCCTAGGGTGATTTGCATAACCTTTATGTGTTTCACATTATGTATCTGAGAATGTGAGTCTGAGTTTCTCAACCTCGGCTCTGTTGTCATTTTGACCCACGTACTATATTGTGGGGGCCTGTCCTGTACAGGGTGGGAGGCGTAGCAGCATCCCTGGCCTCTACCCACTAGATGCCAGTAGCTCCATGCAATCAAAAATGTCTGCAGACATTGCCAGGTGTCCCTTGGAGGATAAAATTGCCCCACTGATACAGGTAATGATATTTAGTTTCCTTCCTCAGTTGGTTAATTTGAGGGTTAAGTCAGTTAATGTACATAAGGTGCCTAGACAAGTACCTGGCTGATAGTAAGCACTTGGTGCTGAGTCTCTTAAGCCTTAGATCCGTCCTAAGAGACAGTGAGATTACCCAGTTAACGGTTGAAGAAATTGAGGTACTTGTTTAGCCATTCTCTTTTGCTGTTTTTCCCTTTAAAAATTATTTTTGGTGTTAAAGTAACTATAAATGATACTTAGAACCAGATTAGAAATTACAATGTAGTTGGAATAAAAATTCAGAGTAATGGATGTTAGGGAAGAAGGAGAGTACACAGGGTTAGGAGAGAAGTGGGGTTGAAGAGGGGCGCATTATAGGCTTCAGCAGTAATTGTAATTTTTTTCTTTTTTAAAATAAAAAAGATTTGAAACTGATACAGCATGTACATTATTGAGATCTGATAATGCTTGTGGGCACACTAAAGTTCTGTTTTCTCTAAGTACTATCCATATGTTATTAAAAAAAACTTTTCAAATAGATAAAGTTATAAAACAAGTACTAAAATATTCGTTCTCACATTTGATTACATTTTCTCTCATCTAATGTTTGTAAAACTATTTGGAAATTAAAAGTGCTTGGTCAGATTTAGTATTTTGTACCTTGTACTTTTTAGTGTTTTTAAGAAATTGTTTTGGTAGACTTAGTTTTTATACCTAAGATATATTTTAAGATGTGTTTTAACTTTGTGAAAACATGGAACATTTTTGAAGTGTTTTAAAGTATGCTCTGTGAGAGAGTAAGTGTTTATTGTGTTATCACACTCTAAACTCAAAGCACAATACTTACATCTTCTTTGGTATGTTTATAAGACAAATTACCTGAAAAGTAATTTCCTCTAAAGATATTTAGGTTCTGTGGTAGTCTTTTTTTTTTTTTTTTAACGAGTAGTTACATTCTCTTGTTTTCTAAAATGAGCATTTATAACTAGGAAGCTAGAAAACTTTTAGACCATCTCCCCAATAAATACTCTAATAGGAGGTTTAAGGCTTAGAGGTTAGTTTGTTGTATTCCCACTTCTAAGAAGTTATAGTGACAGATTTGTAGTCACCTGAAGTAATTACATCTCTACAACTGGAAGAAGTGTTTGTTTATTTTAAAACTTAAGGATGCATATTTGCTTGGCATATTGGATGCATTTTACTTACTTATTGGTTACTACTTGTTTATTGGTTACACAGAGAATAGCACATTAAAGTTTTGACAGTATTTTTATGTACATTATTTCCTTTGGTATTCCCAGCAACTCTGTGAGGCAATTTTATATATTAGCTACATTTTACAAAGAAAGAAATTTGAAACTTAGATGAAATGACACACACATAAGGCTACCCAGCAAGTAAGTCATTTTGATTTTTAGGTTCATATTCCATTAGAACTCATTGTCTAATTCATATACTTAATGTTTTAATTTGACAGTTTTGTGTTCTATGTTATGTTTGTAAAACTTGTAGTAACCTAGATTTTAAAATAAAACTTGTAGAAGACCCAGAAATAGCATATGCCACATAGGCTAAATTAAAGTTAAAATGCATAATGCATTTTGCTTTTAATAGTATTTAGTGCATTTTAATTGAAATAAAATAGTTGTGTCAAGCTTATTCTTATGTTGTATCATCAGTCTGTTTGTATAGATATTGTTGTACATTGCTGAGTAACAAACCACCAGTTAAGTTAGTGACTTAAAATAACCATTTTATTAAATCTTATTATTTAATTCGCTGAAAATCCAGGAAGGATTCTGGGTAATATTTCTGCTCCATATTGCACTTAGTTGCTTCACTTGGTTATAATCAGTTGCTGGCTGGTCTGGTCTGGAAGGTCCAAGACAGCTTAACTCAAATTCCAGCCAGCTACCTTAGATAGGTTGTCTGGAAGACTGGGCTTAGGTGGACCCCTCTTCTCTATGTAGTCTCAGGACCTCTCCTTGTGGTAGTTAGGCTTTTCCCATGATAGCGTAGCACTCCAAGAGCATTTGTTTCATGAGAGAGGAAGTGGAAACTGATGTTTTTTAAGGCTTAAGCCAGGAAATTGGTACAGCGTGACTTCAGGCAAATTCTGTTGGCATGCGATCTCAGAGGTTCTTCCCCCTCAATTCAAGGGGGAAGGATATAAACCTCTCAACAGGAGGGGTAGCAAAGAGTTTGTGGCCATCTTTTATCTACCATAGATATCCAAAAGGTATCATGTTGTAGGTAACAAATCACTGCAACTGAAAAATTATATCATGATTATTTCTTTAATTTGGCGCCTGGCTTTTGGAAAATTCAGATTAATCCCAGTTTGACATAGGAAGTGATTTACTTCTTCATAGCTCATGGAATCTTAAAGTTGGCTAGGACTCAGGATATTTTAGGACTCAACCTAAACCTGAGATGTAACATATAGGATCTTGCCTATATGTGAGTTGGCTCTCATTGTTAGAAAGTGTGTGTTTTATGCCGAGTCCAGTTCCACCTCCTTATGGCTATTTTGGAATTGCACAGACTATTTACTGCTTCTTGTAAGTGACAACTCTTCAGATATTTGAAGAACTGTTGTGCTGTATTCTTTTCAGTTCCGTCATACATCTTACCTAGTTCCCCTATTTGTTCCTCGTTAATATAGTTTCCTAACATTTCTTTAACCTGGTCATTTATAGAGTTGCTCTGAATAGTTTCTGACCTCCTCCTACTCCTAAATTATACTCTCCTTTTCTAACTTCACAGTACTCTTCTTTATGCTCCTCTGCCTCTTCACATCTCTTTTCCTGTTTCATCTCTGGAATAAAATATCCTTTCTCAAATCTTTTTACCTTCCCCTTTAGTAGAGAGGGCAGCTTGGCTTTATGGTTCACAATTGTTAAAACAACTCTGTCATAAATAGAGCACAGTTTACAAGTCCCAAGAAGAGTGTCTCTATGTGTATTTTCTTATTCTCAAATTGAGCTATACTGTAAACTGGCTCACCTCTTTGCCGGGGATCCTTGAGATTCCTGTTTCATTCTTCATAGTTTCTACCATTGTCTTCCAAGTGTGAGATTCTAACTTTTAGGAGTTCCCAGTTGACTGATTCTAACTTTTAGGACTTTGCTCTTATGATCAAATCTAGCCCTCTTCAGTAAACACATGGTCTTGGAAGAACCTTTGCTAATAATATTCCAGTGTTTTTAACTTCCTTTTCATACTTTTTTAAGACATGGGTTTACAGAATTTTTTGTTGTTGTTGTTATGTAGGCATCCTGCTGTCTTTAATTCCTTTGACATAAAATATAAAACACTATTTGGGAAAGAGCTATTTTAATCATGCTTGATTTTAAAAATGAATTCCTTCTCAGATTATGGAAAATAATAGTCACTGTCTTTGTGTAAAACTTAGTTACTGAAACAAATGTCACATGTGCACAAAGGTTTTATGTGAAATAGTTAATCTGATACTTCCTGTTTTAAAAATAGTTTACTGAGACCCTCAAACCAGAACAAAGGAGAAAATAGTGCTTAATAACGTTGAGAAGAATTGAGTAAAGTCATTAAAAAAAGTCTCTACAAGTCAAAGATTAATATGCTGACTACTAATGCTTTGATGTTATTTTTTGTTAGGTGTGCTATCGAGTAGTAATGCAGCTCTGTGGACTTTGGGGTCACCCTGTTTTAGCAGTGAGAGTTTTATTTGAAATGAAAACTGCTAAGATAAAGCCCAATGCTATTACTTATGGCTATTATAATAAGGTAAGTAGGACTGGCATTAGGCAGTATATGCTGCTTATTAAGATTAATCATTTTTTGTACCTTTATTATGCAAGAAGCTTCTTTCAGGGGTATAATTATATATATATATATGTGTTTATGTATTTTTTTAAAAAGATTCAAATATTCCTAATAATCATTATTTTTACCTTTAGGTAGTTTTGGAGAGCCCGTGGCCTAGCAGTACCCGCAGTGGTATCTTCTTATGGACGAAGGTACGGAATGTGGTACGTGGCTTGGCACAGTTTAGGCAGCCGCTTAAAAATACCGTGCAAAAGTCACAGGTCTCCTCAATATCAGGTAATACATGTGATTGGAAAGATACTTTCTTGCTGAACCATAAGCTCTATAGGCATATGAATTTTTAATTATATGAGGCAGAAAAATTAAATGAAATTCTGGTTGGTGTTTTCATACACTATCTACAGAGTAGGTAAAGGTTGCCTTAGTCCAAAGTTATTTTTTCTCTCAGAAATTTAGAAAGTGTTCTGCAACTTTACCCGAATTGTGAGTCGCTTATGTTTAGTTTCAGAGATTACCAGCGCATGAGTATTTGAACTGCTGTTGTGCTTATCTTTAGCTCCTCAGAATGCCGCGGGTGGAAGTGATGGGGACACGGTGAGCCACGGTAGCGTGGATAGTTCTAATGATGCTAACAGTGGGGAGCACACAGTCTTCGTCAGAGACTTAATCAGGCTTGATTCCATTGATAATCACTCTAGCACAGGTACTAAAATCTGGATTTTACTAACCCTTCACTTACTCTCATGTTATCTCATTTTTTTTAAAACAGATTTTACCCTCCTCTCTCAAGTTGGTGCAATATGAGTACCTTAAAAATACCGTATATAAATAAGGGAAGAAAGTACCCCCTGATTGCAGATTACTTGTCGTTATTTCCTGTGGTGTAAATTAACTGCAGAGTGCTGTGCAGAATGCTCTCGAGCGGTGCTTCTTTGTTGTTGTTGATCATTAATGTGTGAACGTATATGATACAGTTGTTGGGAACTGTGAGCTGAGGAACTTGACTTTTAGTGACACAATTGCAAATCTTTATTTCATTAAGTGAAAAATATTTATTACAGATGTGAGATTATGAATATTATAGAGGGAAGAAAATAAGTCACACACCATGAGAAAAAAGTATTCTTTGCATAGTCATTAGTTTAAATGACACTTTCTAAAATCTGAGAAACTGCTGAAGCTACTTTTACATTCAAAGCTTGGGCCTAACCTCTGCCCTTTGGAGTTAGAAATAAGCATATTTAACGTAGCACATTGAGCAGATATGTGTGTGTTGCACATCCTTCTTCTTGTGTTTTTCTTTTTTTGTTGTTGTTGTTACTGTTAGTATCTCAAGCTTTTCTTTAAAAAGAATTCTAATTCCTGTGCTTCATCTGATGAACTTGTCTCAATGACTGAAGTTTCCTTTTCTCTGCTCTTTGTTGCTCTGCTTTTTGCTCTGTGCTGTTTCTTGGTGCTGCATTTGTCCTTGGCTGTCATGGTGTGGGGTGCAGACAGACATGTATGACGTGAAGCTATGGATACACGTGTGCATTAATCCTACCCTTGAATGTTAACCACTTCAGGTAATTTCCCATTTATTAGGTTAAATTTTGCTGATAATGCAAGGGTTGGGGACAGACCTTTTGTTGTATTTTAAGTATTGTTACAAATGGAAAACAATTTGAGTTTTCTTGGCTTTTTCTCCTTCAGATACGTGTAATCATGTATGTACTGCTGAAATATCCAGCTAACACTTTATAATCAATATGCAAAGCATATTTGTTACTCTATTTGAAAATATGCTCTGCCTTGCAACAGTTTTTTTTTTTTTTTTAAAGAGTTCTTATATTGAGGGTGGTTTGTAGCATCATTGTGTCAGTTTTATGGGCATTAAAGATTTCAGTATTCTAGCTGTTGAGGTGGTTTTTGCTTGCTAAAACTGATCAGCTGAATTCTTGTGGTAAAAAGTACCCTCATAATTACAGAAACATGTATAAATTGGTGAAAGTCAATGTAAAGACATAAATTATAGTTCTTTTTGTAAATTAACTTTCAACATGTAGGAATTTTTATGAGACTTTCATTTTAAAACTACCTTATTTTATTTCCTCTTGTATTTTTTCCTAATGCTTATAGAATAAGTTGCTTTCATTAATGAAAAACCAAGAAAGTAATTTTGTGGTATGAAACCATTTCACCAGGAGTAATAATAATAATGGTAGTATTAATAGATAAACAGTATCTTGTCTCTCTAGATTTTTTAATTGTCTCCTTTAATGAAAAAAATGATCTCCTAGTAACACTGGGTAATTGTATGAAGATTCCAATAGATGGGGAAAAAACTTCGGATCCCTTTTTTTACATATTTTTTTTCAGTTGCATTTCAAATAACTGAAGCCCTGACTGAATTTACAATGAATATCTGTCTCTGTAGAATTTCTGGTGATGTCATTTGATACAGCCCAGGTGCTTAAGTTACTCTTTTCATTAAGGATTATCTCTTAGAATCTTTCTACTTGGTACCTGATACTGAATCATTTAGCTTGTTGTGGGGCATATCTGGGTTTAATCAGTTTACTCAGTTCCCAGTCTAGTGTCCCTTTCATAGCACTGTAATACTTTGAGGGGGCCAATTAAAAAACTAACTGAAAGTAGTCATTCTAAATAGCAGTATTTAAAAAATGGAATTCTTTTGTTATATGGCAAACCCAAAGTTTGAATGGCAGTTTAACAAGTAGTAGAAAGTGGAAGGCACTATATTTTTTGTTTTATGTGTTTTTCATTGACATCCTTTATAATGATCCTCTAGTAACTCGCCTTTGTTTCAGTTTTAAATGATAGAACATTAAGGGCAAAAAAGACTTTTAAGAAAACATTTTGAAATAATTTCAAACTTACAGAAATGCTTCAGAATGGTACAAAGAACTCTTGAAAGGTTTCATCTAGTTTCATTGACTTTTAGCTTGACACATTTGCTTTATCATTTTCTTTCTGTACACATACAAATTTTTTTCTATATTATGCGGCAGCAGGTTCCATAATGCATCTTGCCTTTGTACCTCTTAATGCTTCAGTGGTATTTGCTCTTACATAAGTGATAGACTACTTCAATCTGTGGTCTGTATTTTGGTTTTGTCCTGTGTGGCACTTTAACTCCCTTTCTTTAGTCTTTAACCTGGCATAGTTCCTCACCTTTTCTTTGTCTTTCATGACCTTGACCTTTTTGAAGAATAAGTCTAATTATTTTGTGGAATGCTCTCAAATTTGAATTTGTCTGATGTTTCCTTGTGATTAGATTAGGTTATGCATCCATGGCTCTGCTACAACAATGGTGCTATGTCCTTCTGAGATGGTAACATCCCAGAGGCACACAGTGTCTGTCTGCCCCTCACTGGTGATGTTTTGATCACCTGCTGTCAGTATTTGGTTTCTACTAGTTACTATTTATCCCCTTGCAGATAATAAGCTATCTGTGAGGAGACACTCTGAGACTCCGCAGTATCTTCTTTTAAATTTAGCATGCTTCTTGCCTAGACCAGTCTTTACTATGATGGTTGTAAGTAGTGATTTTGCCAACTCTGTCCTCTCCTCACGTGTATAAGATGGCATTCTTCTATTGTGTGTTATTCATCTTTTTGAGCACCTTCTTTCTTGCATAACAAAATGTTCCTGGCTCATTATTGTACCTTTTCTGCCTGAGCTCTGGAATCAGTCATTTCTTCAAACACCCCAGATTCCTGTTAATGGACAGTAGATTTTAGAAACCAAGATCTGGGCTCTAGGAATGCTTGCCGCCGCTAGAGTGTTATTGTTCTAGACTTTTTCAGCAGAAGTAGAAAATATGTATATTTATTTTAGAAATACCTGTAATTCCAAATCATCCCTACAGGTTTTTCTTTGCCTACCTTCATTTCATTCTTTAAAAATCTCTCTTATTCCGTAATAAGAATCTTGGCTTCCAACACCATTATATTTACTCATTTGCTGGGTCCTACAGTACACATAAAATAATTTTAGAATTGCTACACCGATTCCCCTGTGAGAAACAGACGTCCTAAGGAGTTAAGGATTTGACTGTTACCCTCAGACTTAAGGTATATACTTAAAATAATATGTTGAAGTTACTGGAATTAGTCCTTTCCTATCCTTTCAGTGTGGTTATGTTATTCATATATGGTTGATTTCATTTGTTTCTGTTTACACTCAATTTTAGTTACACCCCCACCTCCAGTTCTGTTGATTTAATTTTCTGAATATGTAGAAGTTGATACATTTCCAAAAATGAAAACAATTCAATAAGCCATATTTAGAAAAGTTTCCTCTCTCTTTATCCCATTCTGTTTTCCTCCGTCTCTGGTAGTTAACCAGTTTTATTATTTTCTAGTTTATTATTCTTGCATTTCCTTTTGCAAAAGTATGCAGATTTTTTTTAAATTCTTCTTCTTTTGTACACAAAAGGAGCATTCTATGGAAGTATTCCAAAAGAAACTTCCAAAATATTATATCCAAACCTATTAATTTACAGATGAGGAAATTAAGATTCAATGCTTCCAAGTGCATTATGATTTTTAGTCTTTGATGTTTCTGTTTCTACTGGCCTTTGCTTCTTGTTTTAAAATGTTTTGTGTGCTTCGTGAGCTTTCTTCTCTTCTTTTTCTATACGTTTAATTGTGTAGATTGGTGGAAAGTTCTTTGACGTTTTTATAGCTGGGTTATAAATACATGAAAGCATTTATATGTAAGCTTGCATTCTTTTTAACAGGTGGTCAGTCTGACCAAGGCTATGGGTCTAAGGATGAACTTATAAAAGATGATGCAGAAATTCATGTGCCTCAAGAACAAATATCAAGAGAAGCGATAACTAAAACAAAAGTGCAAACAGACGGTTAAGTACTGATATTTACTAGCTTTACTTTAAAAATACCTTAATTAAAAGTCTTATTTGATAATTTTGGTGATAATTTCTAGAAATGTAAGTTCTGGGCTTATTAGATATTATGTACTCTGTTATATGTGGTAGATTTTGGTAGTCTCTGAATTTTAGAATTTAATTAAGAGACTTTCAGAGATTCTGTAGGTGAGCCCTCAGTTTTGCAGGAAATAGCACCCCATTGGGGAATTCATTTGCTGGTGTGACATAACTGCTTTGTGACAGAACCAGGACCAAACTGTGAGTCATCGGACTTGTATTCCAGCGCCCCTTTTATTTTCAAATGCTCTTTCATTAGAGGTCCTTCAAATAACTAAGTGAATATTTTTCATTGGTAGGTTCCAATATAGGCTGTGTAGTTTTCCTTTTTTTTTTTTTTTAAGGGACTCATTGAGGTAGAAATGATTTGTAGTGATCATTTTACGGAAATATGGAGGAGTATTTTGGCTTCATGGTAATAAGATGTTCTTCCTATCCTCTTACACAAAAGTGCACTTTCTTTATGGAGGCCACTTACTTTATGCTCCAGAATTATGCAGACGCCAGCCCCTCTTCTACTTGACAAGTGATGAGAAGTATAATTGAAGGCAAAAGCCCTAATTTATTCACTCAAGAATGCTCTAGTTAGGATTATGAATGCTGAAATAAAATATTTATTTCAGTCAGTACTGGCAACATTTATGGTATAAAACAGAGCAGAATAAATCAGCAATAAAATAGTCATGTATGCATCCCCACTTGGAGGAAAAACCACACACAGTATATATCTCTATCTATCTATCTATATGTATATATAGGTATATTTTGGTTTCTGTTCAACAGTGGCAAAAATAGGAATGATAACGTCCAAATATTTTTTCCCAGAGGTGTGTGATGTCTCTGCTGTTGTGGCCAAACATTCACAACCTAGTGCAGAGGCACAGAGTCCCACTGAACCTCCTGCGTGGGGCAGCAGTATTGTGAAAGTTCCATCTGGTATATTTGACGTCAACGGCAGGAAAAGTAGCACTGGTGAGTCTTTACATACTACTCATTAAATATGTAAAATAGGCTTCTGTAGGTAGCCGTGTATCTTTAATTACATTAAATTGCTGACTTAATTGTAATGAATATGCTGAAGAGCCAGAAGTAAGCTGAATCCTAGAAACAGGCTAAAGAAAAAATTAAAATAGTTATTTAAAGATATTTAATTGTTAAAAAGAAGAATATTAAGTATGTTTAGTTGTTATGTGGAATACCTTTTCTTGGGGCAGTGCCTGTTCTCCGGTCGATCCCTCTTTCTCACGGTTGATAATGAGAGGATTGCAGGGCAGCCCTCCTGTACCCATCCAGGACAGAGAGGCAGTGCTGTGACCACACAATCGGGGGCTTCTTTGTGGCAGGGTTATTCTTGTGACTGAAGGGAAATGGAAGAAAAAGATTCACGTCACTACGTTCTACGCAAAAAATACTAATGGATCATTTAATTTTGGCCCAATTATTATAAGTACCCTGAACCACTTTTTATTTGTGATGAAGTATTTGTAATGAATAACTCGGTTGTGTGTGACTCCCATGCTTTCAGTTATGTTGTAGGCCTCCCAAGTACCCTTAAGGCATAAATCTGAGTATATGATTTTAAAAGACAATGAAGTTGGTCCTTTGTTAGTAGTAGCTGCAGTTACGTTCCCTGAAGTCCCTGTCTTGTCTGTAAGTGCTTATTCCTATAGTCTTTTTTTTTCTTGTTTTTGGTAGTTATGTTACCAAATCCAGTTCTTTTGCGGGAGGGTGGGAGGTAGTTTGCTCAAGAGGTGGAGCCAAAGTTTCTTTGAAAAAATAATTGATATATATGTTCTGTATCCTGTTTTCCCAACCTATTGATAGGTTAAAAAGAAAAAAAGGAAAGAATGAAAAGGAGAAGGACAGAGTTTTCTTCATCAGGGTTTAGACTCTCAGAATGTTGAAATGGACATGGTCTGGGGACTGGTGTGTTTCCTTCCCATTTTATTCATTTTATTTCCATGTTACATCTTGATATAGGAAGATTTATTCTATTAAGAAAGGAGGAGGTGGTAATGGGTCTTTTACTGATATATCAAACAGTTTTATTTTAAAATTGAATAAAATGTGTCACTAAATTTCTGGAAACAATATGAGAACCAGTCAATTTGCAAAGATCTTTTTCTCAAGTATGGGTAGAAGTTTTCAAAGCAGGTACAAACTTTGGAGCTATAAAATCCACTAATTTAAATCCTGAAAGCTTTAAGACTATCTCTAAATGCTTATCATTCTGTTTAGTTGGAATGATTGTGATTACTAGTAGATACCAATTTGGAGTATTAAAAAGAAGCTTGAAATCAGTTTGGAAGATTGAAAAAAGACGGCTTTCTCCCCAAAACTCCTAGGTTATTAGGCTTTTTTTAAAAACAAATGAGAATCCTAAATATGATTGGTTAGACTTAAGTTCTGATATTGATGCAAATAGGAAACAGCTTTTGGTCTTGGCTTGGTGGAAAAAATTACGTTGTAGCAAAGAGTTAAAGACTGCCTGCATCCCCCAAAGCCAGGAGAGGTTCCTACAGCATAATTTTTGTTACTCTTGATTAAACAGGATTGACCTCTGAGGGCTGGGATCATGTCCATTTTATTCTCCATTGTATTCCTAGCACCTCGCATAGTGAATGCTAGTAGATGTTCAAATACTTGTTGAAGAAATGAATGTGTCTTAAAAAGTTTTGGCTACTCAGATTTTATCAGGCTTCTTGGGATTTGCCAATTCTAAGCACTCCATTCTAGATTCTTTTACTTTGGGGCAGTTATTTTACTTTGGAGAAGTAAGGCTTTGGCTATAGCAAATGTTTAATTTCTCCATGATTATGAATTTGCTTTATGCAGGGTAGATTCTGGTAAATACTTGTTGAATTAAATCTATGAAACCTGAGATCAAAGAGATTATTTCTTTTTTAAATTTACTGTTTAACACAGAATATCTCTCTTAAATTGAATATAAAACCCTTAAAATGTAAGACATGTTTGTAGATGTATATTTATTGATAAATGTGATATCTTTTAGTGAGCAGTACAAGTATATACAGCATATATTGAATGATCTTTTCTTAAAATGTGTGTATATATGCATAGACAATGAAAGGCAGATTGTACATTAAAATGTTACCTCTGAGAGGCAGAGTTGGAGTTTTTTGGTACTTTTTTTGAATATCATGTAAACTTTCTGAATCTTTTTTGAGTATATGTCACTTTTGAAAATTAGAAAATAAACAGTTTTATAAAAGTTACATCAGAAAATAGAGATTTATTTTTAATATACTTTCTCTTTTTAGGTAGTACCTCTAATGTGCTGTTTTCTACTCAAGATCCAACTGAAGATGTAGTCTTTAGTGAAATTACCAGTCTGAAGAAGAATGGTGATAGAGGAGAAAAAAGACAAAAGCATTTTCCAGAGAGAAGTTGTAGTTTCAGTTCTGAAAGTCGAGCAGGAATGTTGCTTAAGAAGAGCAGTTTGGATTTGAATTCAAGTGAAGTGGCTATGATGATGGGAGCAGATGCCAAGATTCTCACAGCAGCACTGACGAGTCCTAAGGCTTCTCCGCCTCATGCTGCAAGAATGCATAGCTTTGAGAGTGCTGGCTGTCATCTGGCTGACACTAGGACCTGTGTGTCTGAAAGCAGTCGGGATTCTGAGCACAGATCTTCAACGGTATTAGAGATGCTTGAGGAAAGCCAAGAGCTCATAGAACCTGTGGTTGATGAAAATGTAGCTAAAACTTCTGTGACAGACGATACGTATGACGGCCTACAACATGATGGCAGTCAGTCCAGAGACTTGAAAGCAGGATCCAAAGATCTAGTAAACAAGAGAAGTAGTTTATATGGTGTTGCTAAAGCTGTTGAGAGGGAAGATGTGGAAACTGGACTAGATCCTTTGTCGCTTTTAGCCACTGAATGTATAGGAGAAAAAACTCCTGATTCAGAAGATAAGTTGTTTTCTCCAGTTATTGCACGTAATCTGGCTGATGAAATCAAAAGCTATATGAATCTAAAGAGCCCCCTGGGTAGCAAGTCTTCAAGCATGGAGTTACATGGAGAGGGAAACAGAGAGCCTGGCACTACCACTGCACTGATTCACCCTTTGGAGAGGAGATCAAGCCTCCCTTTAGATCATGGTCCACCAGCACAGGAAAGTCCTGAAAGTGAAAAAAGCTCCCCTGCAGTGTCTAGGTCTAAAACTTTCACTGGTCGTTTCAAGCCGCAGACTCCCTCTCGAGGTCATAAGGAACGTTCAACTTCTTTATCCGCACTGGTCCGTTCTTCACCACATGGTTCCTTGGGTTCTGTGGTAAATTCTTTGTCAGGGTTGAAGCTGGACAATATACTCTCAGGGCCCAAGATGGATGTGCTAAAATCTGGTATGAAACAAGCAGCAACAGTAGCCAGTAAGATGTGGGTAGCTGTAGCGTCTGCCTACAACTACTCCGATGACGAGGTAAGAATGTTTTATGTGTGTCATCTGTCTGCCACTGGATTGTTTAGAGTATTTTTTATATATAAATTATTACTTAGAGTTTTCTGGTAACTCTTACATTTTAAAATGTTACACATATCCTGTTTTTCTTGAAACGACGAACATGAATATAAATTTAAGGAAATTAATGATGAAATAGAATATCAGGACCACTTTATAATTCTATAGATCAATCTAAACTAACATGTTTAGTCTATTTCTTTGAAAGAACTAATGATTAATGTTTGAATTAATAGTTATGCCATGTTATAGTTGGCATAGCCCTTCACTTTAGAAGTAACTTTCTCCTGTGTTATCTCTTTAATATATGTGAAATCATCCTACAGCTTAACTGATAGATTTCATACTGGATAACAAAAACTGGTGTTTTTTTTTTTGATTGAAGTACTATTGGTTTACAGTGTTGTGTTAGTTTCAAGTACAGTATAGTGATTTAGTTTTTTGCAGATTATATTCCATTATAAATTATTACAGAATATTGGGTATAATTCCCTGTGCTATACAGTAAATCCCTGTTGCTTATCTATTTTCTGTATAGTAGTTTGTATCTGTTGATCCCATGGCCCTAATTTGTCCCTCTCCCCCTCTTTGGTAACTGTAAGTTTGTTTCCTATTTCTCTGAGTATGTTTTTGTTTTGTATATGCATTTATTTGTTTTATTTTTTAGATTACACATATGAATGATATTATATAGCATTTGTCTTTCTCTGTCTGACTGACTTGACTTAGCATAATATTCTCTAGGTCCATCCATGTTGCTGCAAATGGCAAAGTTTATTCTTTTTATGGCTGAGTAATATTCCTGTGTGCGTGTGTTGGGGTTAGTAGTGGTATATCACATCTTCTTATGCCAATTGTCTGTTGATGAGCACTTGGGTTACTTCCATGTCTTGGCTGTTGTAAATAGTGTTACTGTGAACATTGGGGTGCATATATCTATTCAAATTAGTGTTTTGAGTGGGATTGCTGGATCATATATGGTAAGTATTTTCAACTTTTTAAGGAACCTCCTTACTATTATCCATAGTGGCTGTACCAATTTACATTTCCACCAACAGTGTACTAGGGTTCCCTTTTCTTCACATCCTCTCCAACATTTGCTATTTGATGATAGCCATTCTGACAGGTGTGAGGTGACACCTCATTGTGTTTTTTGTTTGTTTGGTTTGGGGTTTTTTGTTTATTTTATGAGGGGGAGGTAATTAGGTTTATTTATTTATTTATATTTGGAGGAGCTACTGGGGATCGAATCTCATGCATGCTAAGCGTGCATTCTACCACCGAGCTCTACCGTTAAAGGAATTTAATTCAGGAAAGGGTAGAGTGAATATATTTTCATTGGAAAAGTATTATTTATGTATGTGGGATTTTATTCTCTTTAATTAAAGGAGGAAACGAATAGAGATTACAGCTTCCCAGCAGGCCTTGAAGACCATCTTTTGGGGGAGAATATATCACCTAACACAAGCATCTCAGGGTTGGTCCCCAGTGAACTTACCCAGAGCAACACAAGCCTTGGCAGTAGCAGCAGCAGTGGAGATGCGGGAAAACTGCATTACTCACCAGGTAAGGGGAAGGATTGTCCTTTCTTCTAGTTTATATGTCCATACTTTTTCCTTCCTGCACCACACACACAGTAAGCCCCATTTGTTGAGATGGTCTAATAGATTTTTAATATACCCACACCACACTATCACTGTTATTTTATGTGATCTACAAGTCACCTACTGAGTTTATTTTTAGCTGTCTATGTTTGTGGATTCTATCATTAGTTGTTGAACTTCAGTGTGTAACAAAATCACTTGGAAATTTTGTTTAAAAATATATACAAATATTTAAGTCCTAGGCTAAAACTTTTGAGACAGAATCTGTGGGATGGGACCTTAAGAATATACTTTTGACCAACTCTCTAGATGAATTAGATGTTTACCACAATGTGAGAGTCCCTAGGCTGTACAACTGAAATTTCCTAGTTGTGTGTTAACTTTTTAAATTGTAATTTTATTCATTTTCTCCAACTTTCTATTATGAAAAATTTCAAATGTCCTGAAAAGTTGAAAGAATCATATAGTGTACATTCATATATTCTTCACCTAGTTTTAGTTAACTATTGTTAACTTTCTCTCTGTGTACATTTCTATACTAAGCCATTTGAAAAATGCAGGCTTCATAATACTTCTCTCTAAATAAGCATTTCTGAAGAATAAGGGTATTTTCATACATAATGTGTTATGATGTTTACTTCTCTCTAGGTGAACTTCCATTTCCAAGAGGCATAAAAGGGCAGGACTTTGAAAAGTCAGACCATGGGTCTTCTCAAAACACCAGCATGTCTAGCATCTATCAGAACTGTGCAATGGAGGTAAAAGTTCTGTATTCCACCCATGATAAAGTGGCTGGAAACATTTATATTTCAGAGTGTCATGTAACAGAAATATACAGTATCTTTGTGGACAGAATAGTAAAATAAGTCATTTTGCTGAATTTGTTTGATAGCTTATGTAAGCAAGGCAATAAACTGGTAGGTTTACCTATAAAGTAATTCAGCTGTTATTTCCAAATTTATAAACAAAATAAATAAAATTCTGTGTTCGTCTTGGGAAGATGGCGGATTTTCACCGTGGAGGAGCTCAGCGTATGCACGTTCTGTTCTTAGGTGCTGATGTCAAGTTGTTCACAGTGCAGGGCTTGTGGAGCTTTAGTTTATGATGAAGAAATTATGGCTGGATGGACAGCAGATGACTCAAACTTGAATACCACCTGTCCCTTCTGTAAAAGCAACTTTTTGCCTCTTCTCAATATAGAATTTAAAGACTTGAGAGGCTCTGCAAGGTTAGTATTGTAAAAGCTCCCTTAAGAGGTAAGTGCCCCCTCCTGGGCATGACTCCTGGGGGAAGAGTGAAGTAGTCATGGTATGCTCCAGGTGTTCCTTTCCTGGCCCCTTCACTTTCACTATTTGAGTAGAAAATACTAGTAATGTAGGAGGCTGCTTTTCCACTTTATTTAATAAATGATTACCAGTTGTAGTTAATTCTTAGAGCTAAGCTTTATAGATTATATTTTTTATATAGGTTATATAATTACTATAAATTATTATAGATAATTCAGAACTCTAGTGTTAGTCATTATTTTAATCTTTCTGCCTCAGTGACCTTAATTATGTCTTTTGAAAGCCTCCCTCCCCCCCCCAAGAAAAAGGGGTCTTCAACTCTTATTACTTGTTGCCCTTTTATGTGATGCTCTCTACAGTGAAATGACCAGCTTTGTTCTTTCTTCTCAGTATTGCTTTGGCTCTTTGGGGTCTTCAGTGGTTCCAAATAAATTTTTTGTTCTATTTGTGTGAAAAATGTCCTTGGGATTTTGATAGTTTTACTGGTTGTAGATTGAAGAGGTGAGACAAAGTAGCTTTGCTACCTGCTCCATTTTGCTGACATCAGTCCCCCCTTTGCCAATTTTTGTATTGTTTTCTTTTTCTTGTTGATCTTTGTCTTGAATATTCTTGGTATGAATTCTTTAAAGAGAAATTAATTTTGATGTTATCATTCATTAATTTTCCACCTTATGATTTGTGCTTTTGGAATCCTGTTTTAAAGTTGTGTCCCATCTGCAGGACATGAAAATTTTCTCTTGAACGTTGTTCTGTTAGCTTTATATTTTACCAGTTTTATTTAGGTCTTTAATCCATCTCACCTTTGCATATGATGATAGAGATCCAGCTTTATTTTTCTTCATATAATGAGCCAGTTTTTCATCCTTTCATTGATATGGAGTGTCAGCCTTTATCGTATATCAAGTTTCTGTATATACCTTGCTCTGGTTCTGTATTCTGTTCTTTTTGTCAATACTGTATCATTTTTATTCCTTTGTTTTTATATTATATCTGATTGGTAGGGTAAGTTCCCCCTTGTGGAATTTTTTTTCTTATAGTTGCTTATTTTTTAATATAAAACTTTAGAGTAACTGACTTCTTAAAAAAATTTGCCTGGAGTTTTCATGGAATCAAATTAGATTTATAGATTAATTTGGGGAAAATGGATGTTTTCAATATAAATTCTTCTATCAGTGAGCATAGTATATATCTCCATTTTTTAGATCTTCTTTTATGTCTTTTGTTAAGAATTTTTAATTATTCTCCATAAGGTTTGTACTTTTTTGTTGAGTTAATTATATTCCTTAAGCTATTGTGGGAAAGAGCTTATTTTATATTTTCAAATTGGATATAAAGGAGCATTATTGATTTTCCACCCCATTATGTCATTATGGAAAATTTCAAACTTAAGGCCAAGTTTAAAGATTTTTTCTTTTACAGTAACACCCAAATATTCCATCCCTACATTCTACAGTAATGTTTTTCTCTGCTTGCTTTATCACCCATCTGTCCCTTCATCCACCTACCAATCCGTCCTATATTTTTATTCATTTAAAATAAAATGTAGACATTTAATACACTTTCCCCCCGTAGACTTCAGCATTCATATCATTAGCTGGAGTTAAGTATTTACAGGTTTTTTCTTTCATGTTAAATGTACATCCAGTAAAATGTACAAATCTTAAATGGACTATTTGAAGAGTGAATTCATACCTTTGTGCAAACCAAACCCTTATCAAGATACAGAACATTACTATTACCTCAGGAAGTTCTCTTAATGTCCCTTGCAAGGGCCAGCCCTCACCCCATCCCCACCCAGAAGGAGAGGGAGAGAAATGAGATGAAAGTAAAATAAAGAATAGAGGGGAGTGGAAATGACTAGAGACAAAAACAGAGATTTATAAGGGTGAAAAGGGCATTATAAACAATTACAGGTTAATACATATTAAAATGCTGGGATTTTTTAACTAAGAAAATTAGTGAAATATTTTGCTTTCCATCTTCCTTCATAGCTTTATCTTTAGAGTTTCTCAAAAGCTGAAGGGACCTTATATTGGACTGTAATGACCTTCTCTAGGTCTCTTCATTTGTAAAGTTTTGGATGAGAGAATGAGAGCAGGAGTGTGTGTGTTTGAAATGGACAGTATTTCTGTGGATTTGTATAACTTATTGTTGGCTGTTTTACCATAGAATGATTGTAAATATGATGAAATTTAGAGGCTTCTAGGGCTTTTAAAGGCTTTTTTTTTTTTTTTGGACTGATCCATATTTAGCTTTTTTATGAAACCAAGTACCTCTGGTGGCAGTTTACAGAGTGGCAGCATTCCATTGACAAGTGCACCTTTGGAACAGAAACCCATATCCAGTTCAGCAGAACCTGACTTGATCAGCTTTATGGAGTTCCCAAAACATAACCAGACCATAACTGAAGAAACAAGCTCTTCAGTTGAATCAAGGTACCAGAGGGTATAGAGAACCCTTCATAATAAATTGTACCCTTGTGAAAACTTAAAGGTGACCTGGCTTATATAGGCATACGTTTTGACATTTTCAAAATTTTAACCTTAAATTGTTACTACCATATATTATTTAAATATCTAATGACTGAATCTGATGATAAACCATTTTAAAACCTATGTGTAATGTTTTACAGTGGTCTTTTACAAAATGAACTTGTCAACAGTAAAAAAGTATTCTCCCCTTTATTGTAGTCATTGCCAGTTTCCAGACATATTTTCTTTACTATGAAGTATACTTTTTACTCTTAAATATTGAATCAAACATTTTTTGAGAGCCTGTTGTATCCTAAACATTATGCTGAACAGTAAAAAATTAAAATACATAAAATCTGCCTTCTGGCCTTAGGTGGATCATGGCCTGGTAGAGATTAGATACTTTTCAATGAACTCACATTACATATTTGAATGTATTATACATACTTCTAGGTGATTTTGTTTAATAAAGATGAAATAATGTTTTAACAGAACAACTGAATGGGCATGTAATCTTTTTAAAATAGTACCTATTATCAGGGGAGGGTATAGCTCAAGTGGTAGAGCACATATTTAGCATGCACAAGGTCCTGGGTTCAATCCCCAGTTCCTCCATTAAAATAAATAAATAAATCTAATTACCTCCCCCTCAAAAAAACACCAAAAATTTAAAAAATAATTTTAAAAAATAGTACCTGTTATCTACCATATATGCTCTTCCCTCCCTTCACCAGAGTCATTCACTGCATCCCGTTATTCTGACCAGTCTCACAAAAATGCCTGAAGAAATTTTAATTTTTCTACAGTGGTGCTGATTCTTCTCAGATATATTCAGTAGAATTCATTGTAGAAAATACTCTTAACTCTACAGATTGATTGTTTCACACAATCTAAACACAGCATCTCTTCATTTTTTTTAAGTGATGAAATAATGAAAACCAGTGGAGATGTCCAAAGTATGAAAATTTCACCTGTACCTAATAGTTTATCAAAACGAAATGTATCTTTGACTCGAAGTCACAGTGTTGGAGGTCCCTTACAAAATATGGACTTTTCCCAGCGACCATCTCGTGGCATTTCAACAGTTAGTCTTCCGAACAGTCTGCAGGAAGTCTTGGTATGTAACGAGGTTATATTTATACTGTGTGTTCATTTAAGTGTTTATGAAAACAGCACATAATTCTTCTGTAGTAGGTTTATTTTACTCATGTGAAAAGTGACAATTAAAAGTTCTTTGTATGTTTATAAAATTTTTTTAAAACTTCAAATATATAAAAAAAAATAAGAGTATGAGTCCCTTTGACCCATCATATAGCTTCAGTAATTTTTAACTTACGACCATTCATATTTCTTGTATACCCTCATTCACTTGTTTCTTACATCTGTTTGAAGCCAATTTCAAACCACATACATTCCATTTATAAATATCTCAGTATTTATCTCTAAAAGATGACTCATAAAAATACAATGCTATTATCAGGGCCCCCAAAATAACAAATAATGGTAAATTATTCAGTCTTTGTTCAAATTTCTGATTGTCTCAAAAATGTCAAGTATGTGTATGTTTAGTGGTTTGATAAATCAGGATCAAATAAGGTCCACGCTTTGTAATTGGTTGATGTGGTTTTTTTGTCTTTTTAAATCTGTAGACACTTTTTTTTCATTGCAGTTTGTTGATTATAACCCCATAAATTGGTAATTGCAGCTAGAAGCTTGATCAGATTCAGGGGTTTTTTTGTTCCATCTTGCTCGTTGGTTTATTTTTGTAGGACAGCTTCATCAGTGCTGGTATGTCCCTGCAGTAGGAGGCATGAACTATCTTTGTGATGTTAGTAGCTAGTAATGCCTCAGGTTATCCATATAGAGCTATAAAATGATGATAGTCTAATTGTGTCATCTTCTTTATTATATGGAATACATCTATAAAGAGAAACTTCCCCCATGTCTTCTGTCTGGTTTTCCAAAGATGCACTTTATATTGGAAAGGCAAGATAAATGTTTGATATATTTTTCCTTTTATTTACCAATTTTCAAAGTAACAAGTTGAGTTCCTAGCATTCTCCAAGGTGATCAGTTATCTGAAGCAGTAGCATGTCTTTATGAGCTCACTGACTTAAACAGTTATGTCTACATCTACTGCTGTTGTTGGCCTAGTGGAAGCTTATATTACTCCATCTGTGCTCAGCTAGAAGTTTCTGCAGGTTGGTGCCTTAGCCCTTTCGACACAACTTTAGTACCCTTTCTGTAATTTTTTTTTAAAGCTTCCTTGCTTTCTTCTAAGATGTTTCATGCTCATGTTATATATTTCTTTCTCTAAACCTAGAATCAGCTATTTCTTTAAGAAACCTTGGTTCCTTTTAGAGGGAAACAGTATTTGGAGACCTCAATCTGGGCGCTATGGATACTCATTAATCAGTTGGTCATTAACATTTTATTCTATAATATACACAACTTACAAAATCTAGGTTGGGTATGTTTTTCATTCATTGTTTCATTTCATTTATAGAGTTGCTCTTTAACTACATTATAGTTTTTGTTGCAATCAAATGTAAAAACAAGTTAGATATAACACAAAAAAGTGGCTCATCTGTTAAGAGTTCTGGGAGGAAAATAAAGTCCCATATTTTTTGGCATCATAAAACATCAGAAATGCAAATAGTTCTTTAAAAATTGAAAAGGAAAAATCAATCATACATAGGCTATTGCTCTTAATGTGATAAACTCATGTTTAAAATAGGGTCTAGTATATGGATTAATAATTTTCATTTGTAATCATTTAACTTAAGGATATTTATGATTAAGTATTTTTTGTTTTTGTAGATTTTCATCAGGGTGTTCTACTGCATGTAGCAATGGCCCTGAAATAGCTGAATTTGAAAGAATAGAGAAGCATAATTTCATGGATACCTACTCTGAAACATATGTAATTAAACAGATAGTATTCACTTTTTTATATTTTTATTTTTTTAAGGATCCTTTAGGAAAAAGACCCAATCCTACCCCTGTTTCTGTGCCCTACTTGAGTCCTCTAGTGCTTCGTAAAGAACTTGAGTCTTTGCTAGAAAATGAAGGCGATCAGGTGATCCACACGGCCTCTTTCATCAATCAACATCCAATCATTTTCTGGAACCTTGTTTGGTACTTCAGACGTTTGGACCTCCCTAGTAACTTGCCAGGACTTATCCTCACATCTGAACATTGTAATGGAGGTGTACAGGTAGGATACCAACTTCTGTACTTAACACTACATTGGTGGTTGGTTAGGATGAGGCTTGATTTCAGGTAACAGGAAGTAAAGAATAATGGCTTAACAAGTCATAGGTTATTTCTGACTTAAAAATTTAGATAGGTGGTCCAGAGATGGTATAGATATTAGGGACTTGAGATCCTTCTTTTTGCTCAGCAGTGCATGACCTTTATTTCCAAGCTTTACACCTGCTACAGGATAACTGACTACCTCCAAGCTATCACGTCCACATTCCAGCCAGCAGTTAAGAAGAAAAATGGATGGTGAAGAGTATGTCCTCTTTCTTTAGGGACAGTTCCTGGAGATGCACATAATCTTTCCATATGTGTCTGTTTGGCCTGAACTTACTTAGATGATCATGTCTAATTGCAAGGATAGCTAGAGAAGGTAGCATTTATTCTGAATTACAATATTCCCAGCTGAAATTCTCACTTTAAAGGACTCATATTAGCCATATTTTTCAGATGACATAATCAAAAGTTAGACAGGCTATTTTGGCTAGGTCACATACATAATAAGTGATGGGGGGCCAAGATCAGTTTGGTTCTGTGACTCTGAAGCTCCTCCTCTCCTTGAGCTGGGATCCCTGATTCCACTGGAGACAGTAAGCTTCTCATTTTATGACACTGAATATTGAGATACCACAACACCCTAAACATACACCAGAGGCACAACGTAATCTTTTCATGTGGCTGCTGTGCTGGTTACCAAGTTGTCATTCAGTCCTTGAGAGTCAGAATGAGAAACATGCACCTCAAATAACATTCATAATCAGATATAAGTAGAAATTAAAATGTTTGCTCAGAACTTTAGGTTCAGTCTTGAAAGAACTAAATTGTTTTTATAATCAAGCTTTGCTAGGCTCACTGGTATTATTATGCTTGGGGTACTAATACTTTCTGTTGATCTTTTTTAGCTTCCTCTGTCATCCCTGTCCCAGGATAGCAAACTCGTGTATATTCAGCTGTTGTGGGATAATATCAACCTTCACCAGGAACCAGGAGAACCTCTGTATGTCTCATGGAGGAATTTTAGTAAGTAGAATACTGTTAAAGACAAAAGACTCAAACTGAAAACAACTCAAATATCCATCCACACGGGAATGTATAAGTAAATGATGGCACAGTCCACCCACACAGTAGAATACTATTTAGCAACAAAGAAGAATGGACTAATGGAGGAAAAATAGAATTAAGGAGATCAGAAATTATTTTGCTTTATTTTTAAATCTTTCATTTTTCATATCTCTAAGATTTTTTCCATTTTAGTTCAAATTTATTTGCTGCTGCACTGACCCATTTATCAGGTCTCCAGCTGAGTTGAAGTTTTTTTGTGTGATTTTGGTGATTTATCTGTCAAATACCAATTTGGTTAGGTGTTTGGAGAGTAAATTCTGTATAGTGAGTGTCTTGGTATAGATCATAATTTCAATGGTATGGATACTAGTCTCAAAGATTCTGGCTTTATTTTTAGTCTTATATTTAGAACATATTTTTGTAAGGGTTTAAAGTATTATCTGGTATTTAGAAGCCCTGTGAATCAACAACCCAGCAGGTAAGTGAGCAAACTATGTCAATAGGCAGTTCATGGAAGAAACATTAAAATGCACATACAAACTGTTCTTGCTAGGGCTGCCATAACAGAACACCACAGAATGGGTGGCTTAAACAACTATTTTTTTTATTTCTCATGGTTCTAGAAACTAGAAGTCAAAGCTGAAGGTGCTGGCAGTTTTGGTTTTTCTTGAGTCCTCGTTCCTTGGCTTGCAGATGCCTTTTACCCGAGCATGCCTACGCCTCCCTGGTGTCCTCTTTTCTTCTAAGGACACCAGTCACATATTATTAGGGCCTCCACCCTCATGACCTCATTAACCTTAATTACCTTTATGGACTCTACCTCCAAATAAAACCACATTTAGGGTTAGAGCTTCAACATATGGATTTGGGCACACATAATTCAGTCCATAACACAAACATAAGAGAAAAAGTTCAATCTGATTATCATTTAGTGAAATAGAGCTTTGTTTTTTGAGAAAGGAAAATGTAAACTTAGATACATCAATATGGCAAAAAGTTTTAATAATTAACACAGTATTGTTGAGGATATGAAGGAAAAAAACATTTTGATATATACTGTTAAAAGTATAAAATGATAGAATTCTGGAGAACAGTACGAGGTAGGGGTACGTTCTAAGAGAAGGGCAATTGTTTCCAGCCCCAGCTCCAGAGCAATGGCTGAGAATTTTGCCCAGGGGAGAGGCAGGTTCTAAGAGCAGAGAGCTCTGAAATTCTCCGCAAAGGAAATGACTTTATTTGGAACGGACTGTGGAGAAGTGCAAGCCTGAGAGCACTCTTGCAAAGATACAAAAACCGAAGCCATACAGGAAAACTAAAAATCTGTATCGCTTATGAATAGAGATAAAGATCCTCAGCAAAATACTAACAAACCAAACCCTACAATAAAGAAAAGGGATTGTACACGGTGACCAAGTGCTGTTTATCCCAGGCATGCAGTGTTGGCTTAGCATTTGAAAATAAATTAGTGTAATACTTTATGATCATCTCAAGAGGCACAAAGGATCAGTCTTAATCTGTTTGGGCTGCTGTAACAAAAAACTGGGTAGCTTAATAAAAGGTTTTTAATTTATAAAATTTTTGTCACAGTTCTAGAGACTGAAAGCCCAAGACCAGGGTGCCAGTTGAGGGCCCCATGTGGGTTGCAGACTTCTCATATCACCACATGGCAGAAGGGGTGAGGGATCTTTCTGATGCCCCCCCCCCCCCTTAAGGGCACTAATCCATTCATGAGGACTCTGCTTTCATGATCTCATCACCCCTAAAGGCCTCATCTCCCAACACCATCACATTGGGCATTCATTTTCAACTTACAAATTTGGGGGAGACACAAACATTTAGACTGTGGCAGGATATGAATAGACAGTTCTCCAGAGATGCACAAATGGCCAAAAGCAAATGAAAGGATGCTCAATATCACTAGAAATCAGACATGCAAGTCAAAACCACATAGAGATACCACTTCAACTAGATTGGCTGTAGTCAAAAGGACACATACTAACAAGTAGTAGTGAAGATATAGAGAAATTGGAACCCTTGTGCACTGCTGATTGGAATCAAAAAGTTTCACAATTCCTCAAGATGGTAAAGAGTTACCATATGACACAGCAGCTGCACTCCTAGGTATATGCCCGAGAAATGAAGACCTACATCCACATAAAACTTGGTACACTGTTTTCAGCAGCTTTCTTAATATCCAAACAGTGGAAAAAATTTAATGCCCATACAATGGAATATTATTTGGCAATAAAAATTAGTGAATACTGATACATACTATTAAATGGATGAATTTTAGAACATTATAGAAGCCAGTCACAAAAGAGAACAGAAAGTATGATTCTATGTATATGAAACAGAACAGGCAAATTTGTAGAGGCAGAAAGTAGGTTAGTGGTTACCTAGGACTGAGGGGTTGGGAAGACAATGACTAATATGTGGATTGTTTTTGGAGATGAAAAAATGTTCCAAAAATTGTGGTGATAATTGCACAACTCTGTATTAAGGAATAGTGAAGTTGCATTATTCTAGTTGGGTCATGTATGCTCTAAAATCACAGCCTAGCATCGAAATCAAATCTGTTTAGCAGGTAAAAAGAGCTAAGTTCAAAACCCACAGCCGCCAGTGTTTCCTCTTGTATTGTTGAGAGAACTTTGCTTTATGCCAGGCGCTTAAAATGAGGCTACCTAGGGAGCTTTTGGGTACATAGTCCCACTTCAACCAACATGGGTGTAATACAATTTATAGCTGCTGGGATTACCTGCAGTGTTAAGGTTTTCTTTTTCCAGGCCAAGCTTACATCATTGATTCTGTGTATTTTTAATGTTAGTATAATTCAGTTCAAGTATGCCACTGAAGCACTTTTATAATCTATGAAACCTGTACAAATAATTGTTCATAATAATTCTAGAATTGCCTGTCTGTCAACTAGGATTATATGCTGCTGTGTTCAATAGAAAACAACAGAATCTTAAAACAGATAAAGATTATTCTCTCACATAAAGAATTTATGAAGTAGACACTCCAGACCTAGTAGAGGCAGCTCCTCTATCATCAGGAACCCAGGCTCCTTACGATGGGCACCTTTTCCATCAGTAAGGGTGGTCACAAGATGGCTGCTGGAGTACAAGCTATCACAACTCAGCCTAAGCAGGAAGCCCTAAATTCAGGGAAAGGGCAAAGGGACAGACCTCTTCTATCTGAAAAAAGCAAGAAAAGTATCTTTTAGCTGCTCACATTGCTACATAATTTTACTTGTAAGGAGAAGGTGATGTTGAATAGACAACTAGAAAAATGCTACAACTCTGGGGGAAAAAATCAGTAATTAATGTGAATAAATGTATTCATTATTATTGTGTTCTTATTACTAGATTCTGAAAAGAAATTGTCTGTCCTGTCAGAGGAACAGCAAGCAACAAGCACTTTGGTAGAAACCATCAGGCAGAGCATTCAACATAATGATGTTCTTAAACCCATCAACCTGCTTTCACAGCAAATGAAGGTAGCCATGAAAAGACAAAGGTAATAATCAGTATTTTCTGCTTGATGTCAGTTGAAATAATTTCATGTTTTCTGAAAAATTATCTTAAGAAATATTTCTAGCTACAAAAGAAATACTCATTGTAGAACATAAACGTGTTATAACGTTGTACGTAGGTACTACGTTAGGTCAGGACCTGACACATATCTTACCTTGAGTTTAGGAGAAGAGAAACAGTTTAAGAAGTGATGGAATTACAAAGAAAGATAGAGCTGTCCTGATCCTCTTAACTATTTATTGTCTGCTAACAAGCTTGGATCAGTACTCATCTCAATCTCAGCATAAATGAATTTTGTAGACGCTTCAGAAGGGGGTACATAATAAATTCTATCAAACGCTAACAGTGTCTCCAAGCGCCCAAGTTTCTTAAGTAATGGCATTTTTGAAGATAGTCTCAGAAGTGATAGGGGAAGAATTCGTCATGAAAGCAGATGGATCCTTTTGTAATCTCAACTGTTGAGGTAGAGATCCTTTCACAGGTTTAAGAGCAGCCAGTTTTGAGCATCTAGAGCTTAAGGGCAGGGAAGGAATATTAGAAATGACATGTATGGCTTCTGAAGCTTCTCAAGAAAGCTACATGGAACATCAGAATCACCATTACCGTGTAATTTTTTTTCCTCTATGTAAATAGTCAGAAATCAGTTCATAAGTTTACTCCCCTTTAACAGCTTAGCCAATTCATTTTCAGTTTCATTTGTGACATTTTTATGTTCACAAACCAAAGTTGATTTATCTTTTACTATTGGGTTAGTTTCATACTGTGTGTCCAAGGGCTTTAGACTCATAACATACTTAGAAGCCCATCTGTTACTTTGTCATGTGGGAACACTGCTTTTTAAAGTTTGAGTTAGAATTTAGAATTAAAAGTTATCTGTTAGAGCTCCATGGACCCTTCACCCAGCTTCTTGCGAAAGTGACATCTCATATAACTGTAGTGTAATATCAAAACCAGTACACTGACATGGGTACATTACTGTTAACTACAGAACAAACTTTTTTCACTATTTTAAGGAACCTTCATATGGTATTTTTATGCCCTTTGACTATTAACCTTAAAATACTTATTTTACAGGAGTTTATACAGAGAAATCCTCTTCTTATCATTAGTGTCTCTTGGAAGAGAGAATATTGATATCGGTAAGTTGGTTATTTGGGAATTAATGGGGGTTTAGTTTTATTTCCTCAATTTTAAAAATCCTAACTGGTATGGGTAAATACTCCACTTTGCCTTTAAAAAATACTTCCACCTTTAAAGATGTATATAAAGTGATCTACCAACCATGTTTTAATGCCTAGCTTTTGTATTGAAAATATCTTTCAGAGGCTTTTGACAATGAATATGGACTTGCATACAATAATTTACCTCCAGAGATTCTTGAAAGGTTGCAGAAAATTGATGCTCCACCAAGTATCAGCGTGGAGTGGTGCAGGAAATGTTTTGGAGCACCTCTCATTTAACAGGTTCAGTAGATTTTTGACACATAAAGCTGAGGGAATAGATTAAACCTGGAGACAGTAAAGGTTTATTCCAAATCATGAATTGGTGAAAACTCTTGGGACAATATATAATGAAATGTAATTCATACCAAATCATCTCAAAATGTAAAAACGCCATTAAAATGCCCCAGGGTTTATTGATGTTGAAGATTTACAGCCTCTGTGTATCTGGTGGGAATTGATTTTGGGTTTCTCAGTTATCTGTAGTAGTTTAGAGAAACCGTTTTGCTATTGAGTTTGGGAAATGGCACATTTTAAAACTTGCCTAACCCCAAAATAAATGAAATATCTTAATTGTAAGAGCAAGAGCAACTATTTGTGTATGTGTGTATATATGTGTGGCTATGTACATGTGTACACAGCCATGTATTTATTAAAATTCTTAAGATTGCATGTTGCAATAGTTTTCTGAAAGGGGTCTCCAACAATTAATTGACTAATGACTATAGGTGTTTCATAGGTATCTCAAAATTATCCTTTATGTGATTTATTATCTTTCTTAATGGATTGTATGTTGAATATCCAGTTATTTTTTAGCCTCTTCCCAATACCTTGTTAATTTGCAAAGACTTTAAAAATGTTGTAATTTGAGTGAAATCAAATCAGCTTTATAATTTAGAAAATTGAAACAATTCTTGTGTATACTGTCTTTTGCCCTGAAATTGTTCAGGCACATAAATTGTTGCTATTGGGTCAGTTTTAAAAACCTGTGGGATAAACTTGCACTGCACACAGAAATTCTATTCTTGTATAATACTTAGATTTGTATACCTATTTTTTGTGCATTTGTAAATACAGGGTTTTTTAGGTTGAATCATTTAAGTCTTAAATTTAAAACTTTTAAGCTTGTTGTTGGTAGGCTTAAAATCATGACCTCAAATGTCTCACTCTTGACATTCATCATGCCTTAAGATACCCCTTAGACACAGTAAATTTGCCTTACCTCTCTGCGTGGTTTGAAAAGCCAGTGGTTGCGTGTGCCTGCTTCACAGAAATCATGCAGACTAAATCAGGTAATAAAAATTATTTCCAGATGGTACAGTTAACAGCACATATCTCCCTTTTATCACTATGATCTTTTAAAAATTGTTACTGTTATCAATCGTTTCACTATTTCAGGGTTAATAGGACCTATGCAAATTCTAGTTTCAATTTATCGTGAAAGTGCTAAGAACTTGTCATAAACTATGTACAATTCTTGCCTTAAAAATGGAACTTTTGCACTCAGTATGTATTTGTACAACTTAAGACTTGGTACTAGGTTTAATACCTAACATTTAATGCCCCAATAGAAAGTTTGGTATTACCTTGCATATTATTTTAAAAAGTTGATTAAATTGAAAACTTCAAGTTTGCTATACTTGTCTGTTCCATTTTTAATGCTCCTGAAATGTGCAGTTAGTTCAATTTTTTTGTGATCTTTAAAATAGTTGTTTCTCCATTTCTTTGTAGTCTTCATAAATTTACTTACCAAAGCACTTTCCACTAAAAAGCCTGTGATGATCTCCTTACATATTTAAGAATATTTGGCTATATTATATGAAATTATAAACTTTCTAATAGCTTTATATATAAATTAGTAAGTCATTATATATTGGAAAGCTTACCCCGTGGCTGTCATTTAGAATAGAGGCTGATTTGTGCTATAATTGCTCAAAGGCCTTTTCTAAATACAGAAAGGATACTAAAAATTTACAGCAGACAGAAAACCAGGTATCAAATCACTATCTACAGGTTTGGAAATGTCTAGAATGACTTGTATGAGACTTAATCCCTGAGAACTTCTGAAAGCACTCTTTCAAATTAGCCCAGACTGTTTAGTATTACCTTACACTTGTTTTGGATTTGGCATTTAACTGTATATTGGCCGATTATATACCAACCTGCAGAACCATAAATCTGCCGTAAATTTGGGATATTCAGTTGTTAGCCCTTTTATTCCGTTTTTGGCACATTTAACATTTCTGCCGTGTTAAACCCTCAAAATATTTTCACTATCCTTTTTTAAAGTTCTGATCATCATCTGCCAGATTCCATGAGCTAAAATAGTCTAGGCCAGCCATTATCTGTTCACTTTACTGACTGTACTCCTTGAAATCAGAAAGCAGCATAAAGTTCTCATGGTTTATGCAGTAGAATCACCCCAGGTATCAGTCAGAATTCTAGGCTTACACCAGATCTGCCTTTTGGCCTGTAAGTTACCCACTATGATTCAAACCATAGTTTATCAAACTATGATATACTATGGTTGGGTATCTTTTTAAAACGCTACAAATTCTATTTCAATTTACATTAATATAAATTAATAATCTATTATTAGTAAGTTAAACATAAAAAAGTCTTATAATAATGTTGCTTCTTACAGTACAGTCCAGGGGCTGGCATTATTGGCTTCCTTAGGAAGTTTACTGAATTGCAATCTACTTTGTGCCAGATCCCCAGGTGACTTATTATGCACACTTAAAATTGTGAAGCACTGCTTCAGTCTCTACATGTTAAAGCCACTTGAAAATTTTACTCACCTGTGGTTAAGATACTCTAGCAAAGGAGCTCCTTTTCTTCACCCTTACTAATGTGCCTTAAGACCATTCTCTTCTGTAATGTTTGAAAGGAGGTTCTAAACTGCAATTACTAAAGAAACTAGATGTGGTACATTAGAAAAAGTACTTTCTCTGTGCATCTTTCATTGATGCAGATTTCTAAAAACAGGCACAATCAACTCAGTATGAAACAGTAAAAACATTAATAACCATTTACTAGAGTTGAAAAGCTTTCTGTTAATGCATTAAATTTGCACTGGTTTTAAAAGCTTTGTGAACTATTTTAAAATGGTATCCATTCACTATGCTTTTAACAAGGTATCCTTTTTACACATGACAAATGTCCATCTCCACAAGGGCACTTTTTGTGTATTATGTATAGATCTTTAAGGGAAATTGTATTCCTCAAAATAAAGTGTATCAAAGATTAATAGTCCTAGTCATTTATTTCCCCTACATTGTTCCATGCCTTGCTGAAAAGGTAATGTCTTATGCTAACAATCTTTTTCTAAAAAGACTCTCTTCGCCAGGTGGTGTTAGGAAAGGGGGAGAGCTGGAAAGCCACATGTAAACCAGTGAAGTCAGAACACTTCCTCATACCATACACAAACTCGAGAACATCAGCAAAACATTCTGAGTCTACCAAGGCAATAGAAATAAAAGCAAAAATAGACCTAATCAAACTTAAAAGCTTTTGCACAGCACTCTAAAACGAAACAACCCACAGACTGAGTTATCTGCAAAAAAATGTGACCAACAAGGGCTTAATTTCCAGGACATACAAAACATCTTATATAACTCAAAAACAAAAAGCGCAATTAAAAAATTGGCAGAAGACCTAAATAGACACTTCTCCAAAGACATACAATGGCCAACAGTCACATGGAAAAGATGCTCAACATCACCAATTATTAAAGAAACTCAAGTCAAAACAACAATGAGGAATCACCTCACACTAGCCAGACAGCCCACAAACGATAAATGCTGGAGACAGTGTGGAGAAAAAGGAACCCTCCGACACTGTAGGTGGGAATGTAGTTTGGTGCAGCCACTATAGGAAACAGTATGGAGATAAACCAGTTTAAAAACTAAAATACAGTTTTCTCTAAATATCTGCCCAGGAGTGGGGTTGCTAGATCAAATGGTAACTAATTGGAAAAGATACATGCACCCCAATGTTCATAGCAGCACTATTTACAATAACCAAGACATGGAAACAACCTAAATGTCCATCAATCGATGTCCATCAATCGATGATTTAAGATGTGGTGTGTGTACACACACAAATGGAATACTACTCAGCCATAAAAATGAAACGCCATTTGCAGCAACACGGATGAAATCTGGAGATTTTCAAACTAAGTGAAGCAAATCAAAGACAAATATACAATATCACTTATATATGGAATCTTAAAAAAACAAATGAACTTATTTACAAAACAGAAACAGACTCAGACAGAAATTTACCGTTACCAAAGTGGAAAGGGGGCAGGGATCAACTAGGCATTTGAGATTAGCAGACACAAACTACTATATATAAAACAGATCAACACAGTCCTACAGCAGAGAACAGCGAACTATATTCAGTATCTTGTAATAACCTGTAACAGAAAATGTATGTATATATAGTATGATTGAATCACTGTGCTGTACACCAGAAATTTTAACACATTGTAAATCAACTTCAATTAAACAACAAAAAAATCCTTTTCTAAGCCACCACACCAATGTCAAAAGAACCCTGTCCTGGCCATCTTTCCACTGTCCCAGTACGGTCTCTTCCTGAATTTTAAGGGTATCACTTTCAGGTATCTCTTGCAGACTTGATCCACCATTAGCTTTTGATACCCCCTTTTCTATGACCTAAGTATCTTGACCTTCATTTATGTTTCATCATTAATTACAAATCAATAAAGGAGATTGGATATCTGATCTTATTTATTTGTTACTCTTAGAACATCTCATTTTTGACTGGATTCAGACTTAGAGGTAGAAGCTCTCAAAGAGGACAGCCTCCGTCTCTTGGCAATCTGTTCCTGGCGTTTTTCTTTGGCCTCCTAAACAAAACAGAGCACAGTTAAAGTTTGGGGGGGGGTTATAAAACTCAGTGGTTAGAGTACATGCTTAGCACGCAGGAGGTCCTGGGTTCAATCCCCAGTACCTCCATTAAAGTAACTGGTAAATAAACCTGATTACCTCCCCTGCCAAAAAAAAAAACCAGACGTTTGGGTTAAAAATGCAAATCCAAAGCTAGGCCTGACTACCCACCTCTGCTCCCACAAATCTTAGACTTACCTTCATCCTCTTAGCCAAAAGTTTAGCATATTCTGCAGCCTCTTCTTTGTTCTTCTTAGTACGCTGTTTCTTCAGAGCAATACGCCGACGTTTGTGTTGCAGAACACGTGGGGTAACAAGACGCTGAATCTTGGGAGCTTTGGTCCTAGGTTTCTTACCTAAAAAATTGAAATGACTCAATCACTTCAATACCGTTGTTTAATAGGATCCTTATTTACATTTTCAAAACATTAGAAACAGACTCAAACTTAACGTAGCAGTTCCTATGAAAATTTATTTGTATGAGGCTTTTTAAATAAAATCTAAACTTTTCCCCTACAACTCAAAATACTTACCAGCCTTTTAACAAGAATCCAAGATGGGCTAAATGTTGTCAACATAATGAAATCTGAGAAGTCCTACTAAAAGTGACCAGGCTAACTGTTTACGAGGGTACTAGTGTTTTCCTAATTAGCACATTTAATCCTCACAAAGATAAACTCATTAAGCCACACCAATAGTGTGGATGTCAAATTCAAGATCCTATGTAAATTTAGGTTACCTTGCTCAACAAGCATGTCATACCCCATGCTTTTACTACTGATTTCCTTCCCACAATTAGATTGTCTTACTATCTCTGAAGCATGGTCGGATAGTGATGCAGTTAATGCTTAGTTTTCAAATAAGTTAAATATGCACAATTAATACTGTTTTAAAATAATCCTGTGTGTTACAGTACAGTCCAATCGGTGCTCAAATCTGTTTTTCAAAATGGAGCCTTCTAATCTGGGGAATGAAACCATTAACACGAGAGTATCTTCATTTAACCTATGATTTGTATTCAAACTCCCCCTAGAATTATATATCTACTTCAGAGCAAAAGTCTGTGTAATGATTTTAGTTTGTGGACACCCTGGAGTTAGAAACACTTCAGGTAAATATTCTAAGACTGATTGCTCGATGTTTCAGTTTCTGCTAAGTTAGATAAATGACCCCCTAATTATAAAGAAACAAGAACCATTTTATAAACATATGTCAACTAGTATACTTACTACCCAATGGTACTTTCCAAGGGTGCAACTACAGGAACTACCATGTATTTGCCTTTTTAAAAAAATGTGTAAAGTTCACAAGTCTACTTATACTGTATCAACACTTAAAATTAGTCCCTGGCACATTAAAGTGTCCAAATATTTGGAATGAGTGACCAATCAGCACTTACTATATGCCAGATATAGGCTTAAGATAAGCCCCCAGTCCTGAAAACTGAAAACTCGACTGAATTTTTTCAGATTTGTCAGGAAAACCCAATCCAACTCACATGCTGTTTATTTCACCTACTGTAAATATTCATATAATTCACTACAGAAATACTGATACAGAGCACTGCTGCCACAGATCCAAATGGCGATGGATTATGCTGCCTAATAAACAACATTCCTTCTTAAATCCCACACATCTGATAACCTGGTATTTTGAATAAAGTTATTTCTAATTCTCACACAACTCTTGCTATCCACATCCCAAATGACAATGAAGGCCAGAAACTAAAGCAACTTCAGTTGATGAAAACATGTATTTCTTCTGTAAACAAAAAAATTAGAACCACCATTAAGAAAGCAAGTGTGGTGTTGGGGGTGCGGGTTAAGAGCACCTTCAATCATAATCCCAGAATTTTCTACCATTCAATGGATTTCTAACTCCAATGCAATGGATGTCTGAGAATTTATCATTCAATGACTATGCACAATGACTCAAAGGCAAATTTCCAAGAAAAACTGTAATGCTCTGCAGAGCACTAGACATAACAAGAATACCAACTGCAAATCTTGACCCTCCCCTACTATTTTCCTAAAAACTCAGATTCCAGGTAAACAGTGGGCAGAGATTTTGTCTTCTAACATGCACACAAAATGCTATGACAAACCACTGAAATTAAGCCCTAAAGTGCATAATCACCCATACCTTCTTTGTTGAGGGGCTTTCTCACAACATACTGGCGGACATCATCTTCTTTAGAGAGGTTGAAAAGTTTGCGGATTCTGCTAGCTCTTTTGGGCCCCAGGCGACGAGGCACGGTAGTATCAGTGAGTCCAGGAATATCCTTCTCCCCTAACGGAGACGAGTGAACAAAGACATTTTAATTCAACTTCCTTACAAGCATGAACCCTAAATTGTTCATACACTGCTAAAAAAGTCCATTGGTCAAACTGTGGATACTGCAAATGAAAAAATAATTGGACAGTCAACTTTGAATCAATGACAACAAAATTTATCTTAACATGTCTCACCTTTTTTCACGATGACCAAATTGAGAACACTCAGATTGGCATCCACAATACAGCCCCGTACAGATTTGCGCTTTCTTTCTCCAGTCCTCCTTGGTCTGTAACAGGAGTGCCCCTTACTCAGTAGCAGGCGGACTCGGCCATGGGTCAAAACACCCTGCTTCATGGGGAAACCTTGTTTGTCGTTCCCACCACTGATTCGGACCACATAACCCTGCAAGAGAACACAATGACACACTGCTGAGCAAAGGACTGAAGCCTCTATAAAGTATACTCTCAATGCTAGAAGTACAGTTCATTAAGACCAGTTTGAAACTTCTCATAAACTTCATTCTCTGGTCACTAACTTTTATCTATACTTCCTACTTGCCAAGTTCAATTAGCAAATACCTTTCATTCAAGGTATACTTCTAACTTATGTTTTAGTAGAAGTAATAGCTCTTGGGGAAGAAACATTATGTTTAAAAAAAAAGTATCAATGAGCAACGAACGAATAAATCAAAAGCAATCCTTCTTGGCACTAAGACACTCTGGAGACCATTAGCTTGCAGGGCAAAACCTATAGTATTTTCATTTGGTTCTCTTAACCCCCACCAGCTGGTAGCTCCACCGAATAAAGTGACATCTGGAAGTAATTAGCCCAAGTTCAGAAAACGCAGAGTTTGAACTCCATCACACATACCAATTACCAACAGCGTTTACCATTTCTTTAAATAGCTTTAACAACTAAATTTGGTCGTCAGCTTTTACCTTCCATTCTTCACCTAAAGCGTCAGCAGCAACTTCTGTGGCCATGCGCTTCTCATAAAAGGTACGAAGTTTGCGTTCATCGTCCACTTCAATGAGTTTCTGGCAGCCGGTGGCCGGGA